TTCATAATTGATCGGTTAATCTTTTGACAAATAAAAATAGACCCTGATAAATTGATTTTGACTCTTCAAAACATTTAATTTTGCTTTGGAAGAACAAAACTTGTATTGAAACTAACCCTACACTTTTTCTTTTAAGGGTCATGCTAGAGAGACCACAATATTAGACCACCTTGAAAACCACCTCTCTAATAGAGGTGGAGCCCACCAATACAATGGGTCTCATATATATTAAAGAGGTTGTTTGCAAGGTGGTTTATAAATATGGTCTCCCTAACATTTCTCTTCTTTTAATATAATAAATACATATATGTAGTTAGTGAATAGACATGATTTTTTCTCCATTTATTTAAAACTTCACGTGTACACTCTGTGTTGTCACATCAGAATCATATGAGTTTAGGATGTAATGGAATTCCATAATTACTGATATGATATAGTTTTTTTGTTTTTTTGGGTATGTTGATATGATCCTAGTTCCTAGAAAATATTCCATACTTTTTCTCACCGCGTATAAGTAGTAAAACCTAACCATAACCATATTATCACTCTACGATTATCTCTTTGTTTTTCTAAATTTCGAAGAAGAAAAAACCTCATTGTTTCGTGTTATTTAGCGTTCATTTTTCGAACAAATTCCCACTTCTGGTGTTCTGCAAATACAGAGAAAAAGAGAACCAAAGTCACAAGGTGCAAGCACTAAACTATAAAAGACTCTCATCTCTGTATCTCTCTCTCTGCATTTCTCTCTGTCTCTCTCCTGGTGAAGCCGCCGCATATGTAAGCTGGGGGTGGTTGGTTTGTCTTATATGGAAATATTGGCATGAGGGCATTTAATGAATAGACATCATGAGTAATATTCGCTGCCAATTTTCATAATTTCACTGATATGGTCCAGAATTGTGAATTTCTGAAAAGCAACATTAAATCCCTGCCGTCCATTTCACATACTGAGTGAGATATGCTCGTAAAGATTAGCCCTAGCTAGGCTCTCCAAATTTAAATCCCTGCCGTCCATTTCACATGCTGAGATATGCTTATAAAGAAGCACCAAAGCCTCAGTGTTGGCAGTCCATCAGGTCACCAAGCCAGTAGGAGTGGTAGTGTAACTGCCCTTGCGTACATAACAACTCCAAATCTCTCTGATTTTTTTTCAGTCAAAAAGCATTGTTGGAAGCTTTTGATCTCCTCCCAGCGGCTTCTTGTTCTAATCCGAAATCCCAACGCCCTAAAATGCCTCTGAACACTTATGCACCGTTATACCAACCCAGACCGAACTACTATTATTATACCTACAATCCTGTTTGGCTGGTACCCGTTGTTCATTCTGAGCCAGTGCCACTGCTAGTTTCTTCCTTGGTTCCTTGTGAACCAGTGCTGCTAGTTTCTTCCTTGGTTCCTTGTGAGCCACAGCCAGCTGGCCGTTCTTCTTCTTCAAACCTCCATTTTCCAAGATCATCAGGTCCAGCTTTTAGAGGGAAAAGGTTGCAGCATAACAAGTATAAGGGCAAAAATGGGAAGAGAGCAATGGCTCCCATGAGGGTTTGCGGACCAAGGAAGAAGCTTGATCTTGATGGTGGACGTGGAAAATGGGTGCCCAAAAACAAACAGAAGCTGCAAGCAGAAGAAGAGAAGAATATGGAAGCTTCGAGTTCAGAGCACAAAAATGGCGGTCCTGTTATTCCTTTTCCTCCAACCTTTGACCTGTCTACAACCACTGTCATGGTCAAGAACATCCCTTGTCAGTTTCGGTAAAACCCTCTCTCTCTCTCTCTCTCTCTCTCTCTGTGCAGCATTTGGGTATCTTGGTGTTTAAACTTCAAAGGATAAAGTTACAAACTTTGTTAAATATCAAATATTTTAGCCGGTTAAATTTATGTTCTGGGTTATCTGCAACTTTTGACTTCTCAAAGCTCATAGCGAGTAAGAGGAAATTAGCACCTTTTTTTTGGGTTTCTCTTCCTTCAAAGTTTCTACCTTTTGTCCCAAAAAAACCTTTTTCTGTCAATAACGTGAACTGAAACAAGTACATGTGTTTTGATATTTTTTTCTTTGTTTTGTTTTTGCCCATGTGTTTGATATTCATCAACAACGCATATGTAAACTATTGGTACATAGAATACATGAAATATGATCGTCCACCATTTGCCTGAAAAATTGTTCATCCATATGCAATTTATTTATTTATTTATTATTTTCACTGTTATGTTAACATGCTTACTGATCTGCTCAGCACTATTATTCTAATGTTTATTCAGGAGGCATACTTTATTGGAAATACTGAGCTGGCATTGTTTTGAAGTGAACCGAGGCCTCCACTCTGATCCAAACAAGTCCAAGTTCGATTTTGTTTATCTTCCCATAGATTTCAAGTGAGTAACTTTTTATTTTAGACTGCCAATCTTCCCAAAACCTTTGTTTCTGTGTTTTTCTTGGGTGTTATAAACAGCTATATATATAAATTTTTTACTTTTTACTTTTCGTTTAGGAAAATCTGGAAGAAGAAGACTATTTCAAATCTGGGTTACGCATTTGTGAATTTTACAACTCCAGCTGCAGCTCGCAGATTTTGCGTGCATTTTCAAGACCAGGAGTGGAGAGACAACAATACCAAAAAGACTTGTGATGTCAAAAGCGCCAAATTCCAGGTTAAATAAATTGATTTCTTATAATTAGTTTTGAAAAATTAATTACCTGGGTTTTGTTAGCCTTGCCCAAATGTTATTTACCAAAATTTTGAGTCCATCCCTTATTTTTAAGATGATTGTTTTTGGTTTTGAAATGCAGGGCAAGGCAGCTCTATTGAAACATTTCAAGAGCAAGAAGTTTTGGTGTGAATCTGCAGAGTGCTTGCCTGTGACTGTGGAACCTGCATGTGATGGTTCCAATTGGTTTCAAGTATCCCCTGTTGGAAAACTTACTGTTGTGCCACCTTACAAGTCTTAGGGTTCTCGTTGTAATTTTCTTTTCGACGTAAAAAAACAAAGTCTTAAGGAGTTATCTGGCTTTAGCTTATGGTGATCCATGGAGAACATGAAGTATATATAATACATATATGACAGATGCATGAACTGTGTTTTGTAAGGCCAAAATTTGGGTTGAAGTGGAAAATATGGGTTTCTGCCTCTTGGTTAAGTTGGTAATTTTCATGGTTTGTTCTTTTGGATTATTTTATTTCTTGAGAGATATAGTTACTTACAAATTAACCTTGTTAAATTATTTATTTATCATATGAGTCTTAGTCCACTATTTTGTGTTATCATGCCCATCAGACTTGAGGCAAGAACATATTCATATTTGTGTCTATGCCCTAATTTCGGAGTTCATGTAATGCTTTGGCAATTAGTCCATGCAACACGATAATTGTTCAAAGCTTCGAACTTGAGTAATTTTTGTGTGTGACCTTCACTTATATTATAACACGTGACAATTTCACTGTCATACTAAAAAGTTTCTTCATTTTTTCATTATTTGTGACCAAGGGTCTGTGTGGTTTTTAAGTATTCTGGGCTTTTGTGTTATCATATGAGTCTTAGTCCACTATTTTGTGTTATCATGCCCATCAGACTTGAGGCAAGAACATATTCATATTTGTGTCTATGCCCTAATTTCGGAGTTCATGTAATGCTTTGGCAATTAGTCCATGCAACACGATAATTGTTCAAAGCTTCGAACTTGAGTAATTTTTGTGTGTGACCTTCACTTATATTATAACACGTGACAATTTCACTGTCATACTAAAAAGTTTCTTCATTTTTTCATTATTTGTGACCAAGGGTCTGTGTGGTTTTTAAGTATTCTGGGCTTTTGCCACTTGTTCTGCGCTTTGTCAAGTGGGCTGGACCTAATCCTTATTCTTCTTGGGGCTTAGCTTTGTTTCACTAATCTCATTGATTTCCTGTAAAATTCACTTAATTCACCAAAAATAAAGGGAGTCCATGCATAAAATAAGCCATGTAATTTGAGAACCAAAAAGGTTTGTGATTTTTTTTAATAGATAAAATTCAATGCGGCAACATGCAACAACAACATGTGAGGCCGCTTTTATTTCTCCAAATCTTTTGCAATCAAAATTTAAACTGCAAGAATTTCGTGTCTTTTTCTTAACAATTATACACTTTGTAGAGGTCTGAAAAAAAAGAAGCACAAGCTTAAAAAATGTAACTTAGGGCAACTTGAATACAATTATCGCTTACTCTGAAAAAAAGTAACTTAAGGGGCGAAAAAAGAAAAAGGAACACATGGTTTTAGCATTCACTATCCTTGTCTGAAACCATTTGGCTCCTGAACTTCATACATCTTAAACATTTAGTTTTCTCAAGTTTTCCCCTACGGACTTTCATTTAGCTAAAGCATAGATTTTGGAGAAAATCTCAACGTAGCTCAAGCATAGATTTTGGTATAATAGTTATAGTAATAAATTGGGCAATAAACTAGGTACTTGTAGGTCATATATTGAGAAGTCTTGACTAACACATCTTCCAAGCGGAAAGACCAAACAAACAATGAAAAGAATCATATGCAGAGCAAAATACTCATATGCAGAGGTTTCGAGTTGAATCTTTATCCAACTATAGTTAAAACTGACATGCATTATGAGAATGGATATCGAATGGCTGAGATATAATTGCTATCTAGCTGTGAGAAGAATTGAGATGTCAAAGAGTACAGAGAACTAAGAAAGAAGATTGTAACAGAGTCGTGATTGCCGAATGCATATCGAATGCAAGCAGTGATTTTGCAAATTTGTAGCAGCTATCTAACGGATGCTTTGCGAAATTCTGGGATGATAGAAACAAAGATGGAACATATTGAATGTAGTAGTAAGAAGACAAAGATGATCAAAACAAAGTGAGAAGGATTACAACATCAGATTATTTGAGGAAACCATCTCACTTGTATAAAGTGAAATTAGGCCTCTGAACTTTGAAAACAATTTCAACAAGCCATAACTTTTGATTCAATTTCATAGCACTCCAAAATAGTTAAGAATCTCAAAACCATGGTGTGACCGAGTTCTTAGACGATATTTACTACTCAACTTTTAACAATCCTTTGAACAAAAATGAGCTCAAATCAGTGCAGATAGATAGAACAAGGCATGATCCAAATGCCTAATATACACTGATCCCAAATGCATTACCAAAGATGAGAACCCAATTTCATCAACAAAAAGCACTGAGAACAATTGTACTAGACACTAATCAAAGACACAAATCCAGACAATGGAAATTGATCACCAATTACACAAAGAATTGAAAACCCACATGATTACTTAACGGGCCTTTTTCTTTCCAGCAACAGTGACCCTCTTACCTTTCAAAGTCCTAGTGTTGTTCTTGGTGCGCTGTCCCCTGCAAGGCAAGCCCTGGATATGGCGGATGCCTCTGTAGCACTGAATCTCCTTCAGTCTCCTGATATTCAACGCATTGAACCTCCTCTGCAACACCCAAAAAACCCAAAACCATAAGAACCCAATATTCCCAATATGAAAAGAAAGACTCTAAAGAAATCAAGTTCGAGTCTTTACCAAGTCTCCTTCAATCATGTACTTGGAGACTTCGTCTCTGATAATGGTGAGTTCTTCTTCGGACAAGTCTTTGGTGATTTTGTTCTCCATGTTGAGGTCGATTAGGATTGTGCGCGCTCTGGTACGCCCAATTCCATGAACGTACTGAAGAGAGAACTCGACCCTTTTGTTGTTTGGAATTTCGACTCCGCCAACACGCACGCATTTGATGCTGAGGCCACCAACCTGTGCAAAATCGATGAGACCCACGAATTTTTGAGCTCGACCCAGAAATTAAAATGTGGGTTTGAAGTGAAATTTACCTTATTGGGGTTTCTGAGTGGGAAGGAGAGACTATTGGAGAGGGGGTTAGGGTTTCTTCCATTGCAGATTACAGAGAGCGAGGGTGCCAGAGGCATTGCCAGTGTTTGCGCCATTTTTGTCAACACTGCGTGTGACCAGTGAGAGTGATGAGTTTGTGTGTGGATGAAGACGATGGGGTCGAGCTCTGGCTTATCCTTTCTGATGCATATAGCTATTTCCAATAAAAGCCCAACTTGGATGTTTATTTTGGGTCAAATCCCAACTTTCACTCAAAGCCCAAAATATCATTTGTAGCTCCAAAAACAACTCTCTCTTTTTTTTTCGTTCTTTTCACAATGCTCATTTTTAGAATTCAAAATACTGCATCTGTGATTTATTAATTTCAAGCTATGTATGTGGAAGATAAGGCAGACTCTTGTCACCTTGTCTTTGATTGTTCCATGTTCAACTGTCTTCAAAGCTTTGCTTCTAATAATTTTTAATCCAATACGAAACCAAGCAAGCCATTGGTTGCCTTAGTTTAAACATGTTTTGACGGGCATTTTGGGATTTGGGTTGTAGACTATTGGGTTTATGGGTTTGTTTGGTGATTAACTCATTGATCAAGAAATGTTGTGAAGTTTAATATGTTCCATTCTGTACTGTTTCAAGTGTACTGCAAATTTCATCTTAGTTAAAGTAATTATTTATTCGCAAGCAATCGAATTCCAATGAAATTTCATCCTTGAGGGCTTTTGGTGATGTATAGATATCATGCTTGATTTGGAAATATAGCAACCTCGCAGATAATTCCTGAAATCCTAGTATTCTGGGCTTGCAGAAAACAGCAGAACACACAGAACTTTAAGGCCCAATGCTAACCATCTTTGAAGCAGAGGAAATTTAAGCAGAAGCAAAAATTATAGTGGTTATTGAGAGATCTAATGTGACATCGAGAACCAAGATTGTAGAAAAGAAAGAGCAACAGGAGGCTTTCTGCTTGAACACAATTAGTAAAACCACCAACAATCATGACTTCAAAACCCCACAAATTGTAAAAGCAGACGAATTCTATATGCAAACCGAGTTCCTTTAAGAAAAAACCGTAGTATGGTGACTACTTCTTCAACTTCTTTGATGCTGCAACAGCAACCCGCTGACTGCCTTTCCTGGTCCTGGCATTGGTGCTGGTGCGCTGCCCTCGGCACGGCAAGTTATCAACATGTCTTATCCCTCTGTAGCATTGAATGTCTTTCATTCTCTTTATGTCTCTATCAACAAGACCCGCCTGAAAAAACCCGAAAAGAAAAAACAAAAACCAGATATGTAAGCATTACAAGCAGTACTTAAAGAGAGGGAGGAGGGTGGGAGAGGAAGACAGAGTTATACCAAATCCCTTCCAATGACGTACTTGCTGAGTACTTCATCCAAAGCAACAACTTCTCTTCTGGTCAAGTCCATGGCAAGTTTGTTGCTCATGTTGAGCTCAGACAGGATTTGGGCAGCCCTGCCTCTGCCAATGCCATGTATGTACTGAAGCGCAAACTTGAGGGGCTTATTGTCTGGTATCTCCATCCCTGCTCTTATATTGAGGCATCGGGCACCCATCCCATGAAACTGCACACAACACAGGAGGCTAAAAGATGATCATGATAAATACCAACATATAAAATCTGTAACCTTTCAAATTTCAAAGCTTAGGATACGGGGAATGATAAATTTTTCTTACTCTTTTTTTTTTCCTGCACAATTTTTGGATCATAGGATGTTTCATTGAAATGTACAATGTAAAGCAGAGAATTCAAAATCAAAACCATGCATTTGCATTTTCCATTTCATATAAGTCATTATGGTCAATCATTTCCACCAATGCCTACAAGCAAGCTACATTGGTTGCATATGCTATGTTTTATTTACACCAACAATTTTTCACAGCAACCAAACAAGGGACTAGCAATTGAAAAGCCAACGATTCATGCAAAACCCAGAAAAAGCCCTAAAGCACCAATCTTTCTGCAAGCACTGAATTTGAAAATTTTAGAACAAACTTACAGTCATAAACCCCAAATCCTTAAACCCTAAACCCAATGTGTTTGAAATCAATTACAAAAGCAATTAGCTTGATAAAAAATAAGGGGGCTTTGTGGTTATGAACTCACCGATACAGATTGAAGGAGTCGACGACTCGCATCGGAAGCGATTGCGACTGTACCACGTAAGCCAAACATTGGATCAGTGGATTGTTGGATATGCTTAAGAAAGTTGCAAAGTTCCAAAGGCAAAACTTCCAATCAAGCTAAGACTAGGGATTTTGATTTTCTGTCTGGCAAAATACTAAGCCGGCCTATTACTCATACGGGCTTGGCCCAGTTCCATATGGGTTGGAACTTGGAGGTCATATGAATCAAGAATTCTATAGTGAGGTTCTTATATATAGTCCTTAAGTGAGACTCTATTTCTTAACCGTTAAATTAAATTAGATAGTCGTTGAATAAAATTAGTTAGTCTAATTGAATGATTAAGAGATAGAACCTCGCGTAAATTAAAAGTCTTCTAAAAATTAAAAATAATAATAATCAAATCATGTTATGTCTCGTCGTCCAAGTCTAGTAAATTTCATTTGTTATCATGAAAGAGAATCGAACTCTTAACTTAGCCTAAAACTAATAACATATTTCTCCAACCACCCATCCTCACTACTTGGACAAAGCTTTAAGGGCTTAGATTTTCTTTTTCTTTTTTTGTGGTCAATTTCTTGATCGATTCAGCTAAGGAAGGGTAAATTCAATATGATAATTATTATTTATTTACCAGCAACTTTCACATACTACATTGACTGTAACACAATACATGATAGATTTTTTATATTTTACTTTTAAGTCATATACGCTACATAACATTATAGTTACTAGCTAGTGACCTCCGGGAGGTCCATGCACAGCCTGATTGTTGTTGTAATTTCTATTGCAATTTTAATAACATTATAGTTACTAGCTAGTGACCTCCATAGCCATTTGGAACCATGTGAATTGCCAAACCCACCACCCCCATATCCAAAACCACTTCCACTAGCCCAAGAGCTTCCACTCCCAGTTGAAGATGAGCTGCCCCACCCAAATCCAAACTCGCCGCCACCTTCGGGGCTCTGACCCCCATCCGATTCAAAACTGAAAGTGGCACCTCCAAGGTCTGAACCCACACCCCACTTCCAACATCCAGTAGAGGACGATCCACACCCGCAGTAGAAGGTCCACCCACTTGGCCCACATCCTTGAGTTGAGGGTGTTGGTTTGCCATGGGTGGGTGCTTTTGGGGTATGTCTTTTGAGCTAGAAGTAGGGAGGGTGAGAGTGAGAGAAGGGCATGTTATTGTGAGCACTAACATGAGTGCCACCACCCATTTGCTTCTCCTTATTGTGAATCGTGATCATTTTCTTTGTCAATGTGTTTGATGAAATGGAAAGTGACATTTCCTGCGGGGATAGGCTTATTAATTGCCTATATAAACGAACCCACACATTTGATATGGGCTTGATTGTTGAAAATTTTGGCAATCTTGACAAATTGCTCTGGCTCTCTTGCTGGCAACCCAGGAAGTCTTCCTTTTGCAATCAACTAATCAATACTAAGCATGTGATTGATGTGATGGAATGGAACTACGAGAGAAAGACGTGCATATTTATCACATCTCACAAATTTTAATAATAGTCATAACTAGGGCATATTTATCACATCTCACAAATTTTAATAATAGTCATAACTAGGGACGCACGCGTGCGCAATTTCTCTTCTCTTCTGACTATTGATGCATACAAATTTCACTTGGTAATGAGGCCAGTTGCTTAATCAATGTAGAGTCTTGCTTGCTTTAGAGTGATGTTGCTTACATGGATGTGGTCTAAATGTTGGCTAATATATCTACTTTGTGATAAATTGCCGATATGGAATCAAATAGTAGATTCTTATTTAAATGTGTAGTTCAAATCAATAGTTTCACAACATAAAAGTTTATTTACATAAGAGAGCTGCTACAAATTCCTCAATGTTCTTATCAGAGCTTCCACCTTCCGCCACAGCCTCCTTAGCCAATTCTCTCCATCTCATTGAATTCCTTTTAATCTCCTTCCCTCTCTCCTTCCATGACTTGTGCTATGCATCTTTCTATTTCTTCTTTAGTGACAATTCCCATTTGGTCAACCTTGACCCTCACTCCAACTTTCCATTCATCTTCCACAAACTTAGCATTTGTCAATTGGTCAGTCCACTGTGGAATTGCCACCATTGGCACCCCTGAGCTCAATGCCTCAAGTGTAGAGTTCCACCCACAATGTGTCATGAAGCAACCAACGGCCTTGTGAGCCAAAACTTGCAGTTGAGGGCACCAATTCACAACCAAACCCTTCTCTGATGTTTGCTCTTCGAAATTGCTAGGAAGCTTTTGAATTTCTGATTCTCTGACTACCCACAAGAAGTTGGTTTTGCTCCTTTTTAGGCCCAATGCAAGCTCCTCCATCTGCTCGTCTCCTAGGTTAGCCATGCTTCCAAACGATACATACACCACTGTGCCTGTATCGTTTGATTCTAACCACTTGATGCAAGTGTCAATGTTGGGTGTGAAAAGGTTGAAGCCATAGTCTCTGTCATCTTCTAACCTTTTGTCTAGGTACATTGATGGAAGGGTTGGCCCTATTGTCTTGATTGGCCATCTTGTTCTCATCCAGCTCACCACCTGACCAAATTATAAGGTGTCGTCTATTTAAGATTCAAATAAAATTATTTGTACCACATTTACATTGAGTAGGTCTCACTTTAATAACAGAAGTGGGCAATATGTGTCCTCAAATTCTGTGGTTATAGTTGCCAAAGGGACATTTTAACTCAAGCTAACATGTACTCTAGGCTTACAGCATTTAAAATAATTTTTTTTTTAAAAAAAAAAAAAATCTAACATGTATAATCAACACTAGAAGAATTGTTGTTTTCTGTCAGTTCAATCATAGCTAGGTAATATTAGTCCCTTCAAATATAGATCCTAGCCTCTCCCAATAATGCACAGAAACATTGTTTACAATATTTGAGCAAAGCGTAAAGCCATCCATTGTTCAAATGATGGGGGAAAAGAATATTCATACTTCAGTTCAAAAAGTACTCTCTAAATTTCAATTGGGAATTAACACAAGGCTCAAGCCTCATATGTTATGTCTTTTAATCCATGTAGTTCGCTAGAATTTCCAATTTCATTCTACAGTTAAAAGAAACGTAAAGATATACCCTTGTAGTTTACACTAAGTTGCAAACTACATGGACAAAAAATGTATTTTAGCCTATGAATCCAATTCAAGTTTTCTATTCTTATAATTTCCCAAACAACATCTTTAATCAGTCGTTTTGAAATTTTACCAAAACTTGTTCCTTCAAGACATGGCAAAGATATGTTGACAGACTGATATATGATCAAGAAATGTTTGTGGATACACACACACACACACACACACACACACACACACACACACACACACACACACATATATATATATGTACCTCTTGTTCCAAGCAATCAAAACTGTTCCAGAAGATCCAATCAGCATCAGTGATATTTGAAAACCTGCCAACCACCAACTTTAAAAAGGAGGGGTAGGAGCCTGGATCAGAGATGAAAGAGGGCAGGTCATGAGGCTCAAGTGGTGGCAACCCAGGTAGTAAAATTGGACCCTCTTTCAGAGGAACACTGAGCACCCCTTGGTGCACATTACAGTACACAGTTCCAACAGCACAAGAGTGAGTGAAAAATGAAGCCCCAGCAATGCCTAGCCCTTTGGCCATGTCCAGAGCCCATGTCATGGCTGAGTCATAGACAATGCAGCTAATTGGGTACCCAATGCTCTCTTGCTTTGAAATCAGCTCTGGTAATCTTTTTGACAAAATGTTTTGGAGCCACTGCATCTTGTTCTCTGCATTAACCTTGTCTGCTTCTTCAGATGCAGCATAAATTGACTCAATCTTGACCAAGCTCAATTGGGTTTCTATGGGCTCATGATGAGTGTCAGAGGAGACGGTGACAAGTGTCACCCTTAAACCTTTGGATGCTAAGCGTTTTGAGAATTGGAACATTGGGTTTATGTGGCCTTGGAGAGGAAGAGGAACCACAAGTATATGGAGCATTGGTATTGTTGTACTTTGTGCTGTGAGGATAAGAAGTGAATAATTGAAGGGAACTTCCAGGACTTGACTCAAAATTTATCTTTTATTTTTCTTTCTCAAACTTGTTTTAGGATAAGAAGTGAATAATTGAAGGGAACTTCCAGGACTTGACTCAAAATTTATCTTTTATTTTTCTTTCTCAAACTTGTTTTCCCTCAAAGTCAAGATCCAGACATGTTTCTCAATTTCTCTCATCATCAAATTGCAACAATTTCTACAACTAGTACCTAATTCAAGACTTATTTCTGAGCCAAACCAACACCCCCGCTATTTCTTATTTGGTCGAAAATTTCAGGTTTTAACAAAGAATTCCTAAACAAAAGCCCTAGACCATGAAAATAGAGAATGGAAAAAATCATCCTAAACCGAAACTTTTTTTCCAATTATGAAAATACCCAAATCCCTAAATGATGCAATAGAGGGGAAAGTTTTACACAGGAGCCCTAACTTGACATGACATGCGAGTAGGAGAGTGCAGAACAGCTTCAACCAAAGAGGCTTGAGAAGATACCTGTAATTGAGAGAGTACAGAGCAGCTTCTGTTCCGTTTTGAAGGAGGGCAATATGGGTAATCCGAAAATTTCATTGATTGATGCCATGTTTCAAGAAAACAGCAGCATCACCAAGCCCTTATGTGAATTTTCTTTCATTGGCTCTTTCTTCTTCTTTTCTCCATTTTCTTTGTACAGAGTAATCTGTCGGTACTTTTTATTTTTTTCTTTCTTTCAATTATTCCAGTTTAAATAGAGCTGAAAATTAAATTGGATAGCTTTTCTTATTCGGATCAGTCAAAGTTGTCATAATTGACAAGGCTTTTTATCACAAATGGTCCTTGATGTTTACGAAATTATAACGAATGGTCCTTGAGGTTTTTTTGTGACACTAATAGTCCTTAACGTTTGGACTTTTTATCACAAATGGTCCATGCCGTCAAAAATTCTGTTAAGTGTATGATGTGGAAGATAAGTGGAACCCACATATCCAATCACATCGTGACATGTGGATTAAATTAATAAATAAATATTTTTTTGATGAAAATCCATTAAAAAACCATTCAAATTTGGCCATACCTTATATCGATCTTTCAAACCCTGCTTCACTATGTGAAATGAATCCCCATTTGTTTCCTCCACAGGCTCTTCGTTATTGGACATCTTTTGTTAATCGGAAACAGAGTTACAGAGATAGATTGAGAGGTAAAAGAGCGAGAGGGAGAGAAGGAAGGTGGTGCTTGTGTTTCCACACAAAATATGTTATAAGCTGTAAAAGGAAGAATCTCTCTGTTTCCACATATAAAAGAGGTTCGCACTTTTTTTATGTGAAACTTCTGTACTTTTTTACCTTTTTTTTTTAATGGATGTAAAAGAGAGAGAGAGAGAGAGAGAGAGAGAGAGAGAGAGAGAGAGAGAGAGAGAGAGAGAGAGAGAGAGAGAGAGAGAGAGAGAGAGAGAGAGAGAGAGAGAGAGAGAGAGAGAGAGAGAGAGAGAGAGAGAGAGAGAGAGAGAGAGAGAGAGAGAGAGAGAGAGAGAGAGAGAGAGAGAGAGAGAGAGAGAGAGAGAGAGAGAGAGAGAGAGAGAGAGAGAGAGAGAGAGAGAGAGAGAGAGAGAGAGAGAGAGAGAGAGAGAGAGAGAGAGAGAGAGAGAGAGAGAGAGAGAGAGAGAGAGAGAGAGAGAGAGAGAGAGAGAGAGAGAGAGAGAGAGGCTAAATGGTTTTTTAATGGATTTTCATAAAAAATATATATTTATTTATTTATTTAATCCACATGTCACGATGTGATTGGACATGTGGGCTCCACTTATCTTCCACATCATACATTTAACAGAATTTTTGACGGCAGGGACCATTTGTGATAAAAAGTCCAAACGTTAAGGACTATTAGTGTCACAGAAAAATCTTAAGGACCATTCGTGATAATTTCGTAAACGTCAAGGACCATTTGTGATAAAAAGCCTAATTGACAATTGAGCGTTTCCTCCTATGAATGAGTGGTCCATTTTTCTCTATTTCTGGGTGATTTTGTAACACTGTTTTTGTTGAGCAAAATGACTTTCATATTTCTGTCCATGATTACATATGAATGAAATTATAGAATAAGTGGGATTTGATAGTCAAGACCTATCGCGGTAAACATGTCTTATGCCAATGAACAAAGGCAACCATAAAAAGTCCTTCTCACATTAGAGCAGTTCCATCGGTTGCCCAGAGCTGGCTAAGGGGAGCCCAAGAAGAAAATCTTGTTTCCAACGGAACTTTTTGGCTTGGGCTGGGTGTGGGCTCCACAAGCCTGGGCTGGCCCTCAGGCAAAACCAGCCATTGCGATAGCTTGAGTTTGCTGGCGTCAGCAATCAAAAAAAATTAAAAACATCTATTAAAAAATGTAAATAAATACTACAAAATTCAGAATTTTTTTTAAAATAAATACTTGGTTATATTTTTCCTTCCCACACCAAAACTCTATTCAAATTCCTCTCCTCATATCTCATGTGAATAGTGGTTGCCATGACAATGGGTGAAAACACCACAAGCCTTTTGCAATGGCTGCTACTATTCACATGAATAGTAATAGCCCTTGCCTCCCATTGCCCTTTGTCATGGCAAATGGGTGGAGTTGCTCTTAGGGTGATGTTGCTTACATGGACATGGTCCAAATGCTGGCCAGGGTCGTTAAGTGATAGGCCCTTTCTATACAATATAACCCATCTACTTTTCCACTTTTAAGTAAAACCTAATTTTTTAATCGAATGCCATGTAAGACTATAGTTGCCCATCTATTATAACTAAATTACAAACCATGCCACCAACCCCATATTTGCCAGACATTAAATATAATTTCAGCTTTTTTTTTTCCCTTGTGAAATGCTTCCCAAATTTCGTCTAGCATTCTTTTTCATGCTTGGTAAGTCTAGGAATGGGAAATGGTTGCTTGGCACATGAGAAAATAGGGGGAAAATGTAACCCTCCCTTTTTCGATTTCATTTTCCCTTCCCACAAGAAAGTTCGAGAAAACGGGCCAACATTAAATGCACATTTTTCATGACCATTTTGTCCCCATTAACAATTTAGAATTACAATATAGCATTAAATGCATTATTTTATTATTTGATTTCATATGGGTATAATTGGAAAATTAAACAAACTTTGTTTTACTTCCTACACAAACCAAACATAGGAAAGGAAATAAAGTGGTATTTCCCGTTACTGTCCAAATATTACCAAATATGAGAAATGAATCTTCCATTTTCCATCCCTTGGTAAATGACGTGGGAAACGATTTTCCATCAAATCTTTTCCGTGAACCAAACGGAACCTCAAAGTTCCAAACCGTATGTGTGCATTTCACTCCCACATTAATAACCTACCATCTCAATCCATACATTAATGCAATTATAGGGAATAATTATCAACATATACACCCAGGGTTCATGTATAAAATTTGGGTCATGCTAGGGAGACCATCTTTAGGGACCAACTTGTGTACCATCTCTTTAATAGAGGTGGTGCCCACCAATACGATGGATCCCACCCTCTATTAGAAAGATGGTACACAAATTGGTCTCTAAAGATGGTCTCCCTAGCATTTTCTGTAAAACTTCTACAATTTGCTACAATTCTCCACCATGTATTTAGTTATATACCCATTCTTAGCACTAGTGATATAGATAAACCCTACACCATTTAATTTCTATAAACAAACCCAAAAAATGACAGTTGGCTTTATTGAATTTAATTTTGATTATGAAATTACTTTGATGCTCTATTTAGTGTTCTCGATTTTTTTTTTTACGAGGTTTTGGGGTTGGGCTTGTTATAATAAATCGATGGCAATTTGTAATTTGTAGAAAGTTCAAAGCCTCTTTGTTATGTTGTAAATGGGCTTTGGGTGTGTTTCTAAAGTCCATTTCATGTAGGTTTTTTTTTATAAATAATTTGGGCCCCTATATTGGGTATAATAGTGAATATCTCATAAAAATAATTGACTTATCTCTTTTTTATATACTATATGTACTTACAAATTTTCCACTCAAATAAAAATAATTTACCTATGTAGGTAAATTCTTATTCATATTCGATAATAGGTAGATTCTTATTCATGAAAAATTAATAAATACAATAATAAGCAAATTATTATTCATAAAAAATAAGGTTATGGACTGCAGGTAAGAAAAAACTAGTTTGAAGGGGAAAAGCCAAATTTACTATTTATTTATTTTGTGATAAAATGATGATAGTGTTCGACTTAATGGTGACGTGATCAATAGTAAGATTCTTGATTGAATGTGTAGTTTAAATTGATAGTTTGACGAACATAAGCATTAATTACTTGCACAAAACTTAATCGTGAGGTAAAATAGTAGCTAGACTCTTATTTAAATGTGTAGTTAGTTTGACAAACATAAACATTAATTACTCATACAAATCTATTTCTAACAAATCTATTTCTATTTGCATAAGAGAGCTGCTACAAATTCCTCAATATTCTTATCAGAGCTTCCACCTTCATCTACAGCCTCCTTAGCCAATTCTCTCCATCTCATTGAATTCCTTTTAATCTCATTCCCCCTCTCTCCTTCCATGACTTGTGCTATGCATCTTTCAATTTCTTCTTTAGTGACAATTCCCTGATCAACCTTGACCCTCACTCCAACTTTCCATTCATCTTCCACAAACTTGGCATTTGTCAATTGGTCAGTCCACTGTGGCATTGCCACCATTGGCACCCCTAAGCTCAATGCCTCAAGTGTAGAGTTCCACCCACAATGTGTCATGAAACAACCAATGGCCCTGTGAGCCAAAACTTGCAATTGAGGGCACCAATTCACAACCAAACCCTTCTCTGATGTTTGCTCCTCAAAATTGCTTGGAAGCTTTTGAATTTCTGATTCTCTTACTACCCACAGGAAGCTGGTTTTGCTCCTTTTTAGGCCCAGTGCTAGCTCCTCCATCTGCTTTTCTCCTAGATTAGCAACGCTTCCAAATGATACATACACAACTGTACATGCTTTCTTCGAATCTAGCCACTTGATGCAAGTGTCATTGTTGGGTTTGAAAAGGTTGATGCCATAGTCCCTGTCATCTTCCAACCTTTTTTCTAGGTACATTGATGGAAGGGTTGGCCCTATTGTCCTGATTGGCCATTTTGTTCTCATCCAGCTCACCACCTAATGAAATTATAAGGTGTCACGTATATATAACATTCAAATAAAATTATTTGTACCACATTTATAGACTATTTTTCACTAAGTAGGTCTCACATTAATAAAAGAAGTGGGCAATATCTGTCCTCAAATTCTATATGGCAATAGTTGCCAAAGGGGCATTTTCACTCAAGCTAACATGTGCTGTAGGCTTACAACATTTAAAAAAAAAGGATCTAGCATGTATAATCAACACAAGAACAATGGTTGGTTATTTCGAACCAAAAAAAAAAAAAAAAGAATGGTTGGTTTCTGTCGGTTTCCATGAGGTGAGAGATGTCATGTGGGCAATTTGTGTCCTCAAATTTCTAGGGCTGTTGCGAAGGGGCATTAGTTGTCCCTCAAGCTAACATGTGGTGTAGAGCTATAGTATAAAGATCTAGATAGGTAATAGTAGTAGTCCCTTTCATAATAATGGATCCTACTCTCTAACCAATAATGCACAGAAAAAAAAAAATTATTTACAGTATTGAGCAAAGCGCCGAGGCATCCACTGTTCACATAGGGGAAACCAATGGTTCTTCTAGTTCAATTTAAAGAGTACTAAATGCAAAATGGGAATTGCAGCAAGCTTCAAGCTCCATATGTTATGTGAATTAGGCCAAAAGACAATTGTAATCCATGTAGGTAGTTTTGAATTTCCAATTTCGTCTCTATACTTCAAACGAAATGTGAAGTAACAATTCAAACTACATTATCAAAAATGTCTTTTGACCTAGATGAATTACGTAAAAATTAAAGTTCTCACTTCTCAAAATTTCCCAAACATCTTTAATTAGTCTTTTTGAAATGGTTCCTTTAAGAGAAGTTGGTTATGTTGAAGAATATAAGTCCCACATTGAAAACTTGACTAAATAAAATACAACATATAATGAATGGATCTACTACTAATATTACCGAGACTTTTATGATAAAATCTCACACTTTTTGGGCTTTATAGATGGTTAAGTTTGGGACAATTTGGTGTTGCCGTATATATGATGAAGAAATGTTTGTGAATATATATAAGTACCTCTGGTTCCAAGCAATCAAAAGTGTTGCAGAAGATCCAATCAGCATCAGTGATATTTGAAAAGCTGCCAACTACCATCTTAGACAAGGATGGGTAGGACCCTGGATGATTGATGAAAGAGGGCAGATCATGAGGCTCAAGCAGAGGCAACCCAGGTAGCAAAACTCGATCTTCTTCTAGAGGAACCCTAAGCAACTTTTGCTGCACATTATAGTACACAGTTCCAACAGCACAAGCCTGAGTGAAAAATGAAGCCCCAGCAATGCCTAGCCCTTTGGCTATGTCTAGAGCCCATGTCATGATTGCGTCATAGACTAGGCAGCAAATTGGGTAACCATTCCTCTCTTGCTTTGAAATCACATCTGGTAAGTTTTGTGACAAGATGGTTTGGAGCCACTGGATCGCGCTCTCTAAATCAGTCTCGTCTGCTCCTTCATATGTGGCATAAATTGGCTCAATATTTACCATACTCAACTGGGTTTCTATGGGCTCATGAGTCTTAGAGGAGATGGTGACTAGTGTCACCCTTAAACCTTTGGATGCTAAGCGTTTTGAGAATTGGAGCATTGGGTTTATGTGGCCTTGGGCAGGAATAGGAAGCACAAGTATATGGGTTCCATTTGCTCTTTGTTTTGCTTTCTCCATTTTCTTTGTACACAGAACTCGATCTAACTGTATTGTGCTGCTGCTGTTTAAATAGATCTACTGTAAATTAAATTGGATGGCTCTCTGATTCCATTATTCAACAATGAAAGAAACATTTCCTGAGTGGTCCATTTTTCTTTTCATAGGTGAAACTTTTTAGCCCATGTTTGTCAGGAGACATCACTAGCAGAAAACCCCAAAAAAAAACCATTGCCTTATAGTCACAAATAGTCCTTCAGTTTTACAAAAGGGTAATGAGGCTTATCACATTTTTCATACCACATCTCTAATAGAGGTGGAGCCCACCAATACAATGGGGCCCACCTCTATTAGAGAGGTGGTATACAATGTGGTAAGGCCTAGTATTTTCCTTTACAAAATTATCACGAATTGTCCTTTAGGTTTTTTTGTGTAACACTAATAGTCATTTGGTTATCCTCTACCCATCAAAATGATCCTTCCAATTGGTTTCCGTAAAAACTGACATTAAAAAAGTCACGTGCCTGTTTTTTGAAATGATAATGTTGTCATTCCACTCAACCCTCAGAACCCAACCCAACCTTGGACTAAACCCAACCCTCAGAACCCTTTCCCGCCATTTCATCCTCGGTCTCTCTCTATTTGGGGTTTCTAGCTGGGCAATTAGGGTTTTTTGGGTATTTGATTCATGAAGCTGACTGCAAAAGGAATATCTGGGTTCGTAGAAAGTGAGTAGAAGGAGAGTCCGAAAGAGTTGTTTAGAAAGTGAGTATACAGGTTAGTTTTTTAATCTTTGTTGAAGTGTAAACGACAGCTTGTCTACAAATGTGGTTGTTTTGTTTTGTGAAACATCAAATATGTGGTTGTATTTTGATTGTGTAATATCTTTTTACTTTTTTTAATTGTCAGTGAAATCTTTATGCTTTTCAGTTTAGCTTTATCTTTGGGGTGGACCATGTTTGTTTTATATGGTTTGAGAATTATTCCAATATGTCGCGTACGACTTACTTTGTTTAATAGTATTATTTATTACTTAATTGTTAGTTCTGTTTTTTACCTAAATTTTTTTTAGGTCTGTGATGTTGATATAAAAAAGACAATTAAGTTAAAAAGAAGGATTTTGGCATTAATTAATTTCAAAAAGGGTTGTGTGAGGGTTGGGTTGGGTTGTGAGGGTTGAGTGGAATGACGAGATTATCATTTTAAAAAGCAGGTACATGACTTTTTTAATTTCAATTTTGACGGAAACTAACTGAAATGACCATTTTGATGGGTAGAGGATAACTTGAAGTACTATTAGTGTCACAAAAAACTTTAAAGGATGATTCGTGGTAATTTTGTAAACCTAAAGAACCATTTGTGATTAAAAAAAAACCTTTTAAAAATATATGACAACCGGCTGAGAAAATTTATTATTATTAATTCTAACCTTGTTTTTGTTAACTATCAAAAATTTATATAGAATTTTATGCAGATGTCATCTACTTTGCTAAACAAATTATAAAGATGCTATGGAAATTTAAACTAAATCATGAGTATCTCTCCAAAGGGCATCCTCATTTTTTGCTAGAAAGTCATCTACTCACTTTTGAAGGTACAACTCTAAGCTCTCTATTTCAAGTAATCACAAATTTTTTTGTTCATGGATGCATTCTTATGCTTTCTTTCATTCTGTGCAACATATTGAAGGAAAGGTGCTTTAAAAAAAAAAAAAAAAAGCATTTGTAGTAGAAGAAATAGTAGAATTTATTTCAGAGGATTGGAGGTACTTCACTGGTATAAAAGTTCACATATATAGCTGCATAATTATATTGACCAAACACATCACTAGGATTAATCTCATCAGAGGGAATTGACTATAAGTTTGAAGTCTTCAAAGCTAACAGCCCCATCTCCATCTATATCAATTGAAGCAATAATCCCCTGACAGTCTTCAAGAGACAACTCATAACCCAAATCATCGCCCATAACTTCATAAAGCTCCTCAGCAGTCACAACCTCATCCCCATCAACATCCAAGGCTTCAAAAGCATTCTTGAGGACATTTTCAAGCCCCCCAAATTCCATGTTCTTTGTGTTCATGCCTAAGAACTCCTCTATGCTCAGAAACCCATCTCTGTTTGTGTCCCCTTGTTGCATCATTGCCCTCACATCTTGCTCACTTGCCTGGTACCCAAGTGACCCCAAAATCCCTCCAAGCTCTGCAACATTGATCTTCCCATCATTGTCTGCATCAAAGGCTTTGAATGCTTCCACCAGGCCTAGGACTTGGCTCAGTGTCTCAGTTTCTGCAGAGAGAGAGCTTATCTGAGCCATGGGAATTAGGTTTATGATCAAGTTGGTGTGTGTGAATCGTATTTAGATTGTTGAAATTTTTGTTGGCACATCCCCAACTATATATAAATGCAGCAAAAAGGGATTCCTATGATTTTTATTGGGGTTTTGATAAAAAGTTGGAAAGGAACGAAAGGTGATTCTTATGCTTGTGAATTATTTTAGTGTTATCACATTTTTTTTCCCGGATAAGATTATTCTGGCTGATTGTGACACGAAATATTTGCTGGTGTTAACTTGATTTCCATAATTCTGAGCTAATTATTCAAAAGTGTACCTTAGTAATTTTGGTTCTAGAAGAGTTAACAAATTATAGGGTGTGAGAATCTATGATTCACATTTGCATAAATTCCAGCCTCTGTAATGTGACTTGAGTGCTCATGGAATTGTCTTCCACAAGTTGCTCTGTTATTTGATTCTGCCAAGAAAGTGATGTCCACTTACCCCCATTGTCACAATAAAAGAAACTATATAAATGTTCTTTGCATAAGGTTGGGCAAACAAACCCATCAAACCGATTGACCCGTTCAACCCGACCCGATCGGTTTAGATTTATCCTTTTTACTTCCAAGCATTGGGCTGGGTATCATCAAAGTTTTGATACTACGTAGTTGGTTTGCAAGTGATGATGAAATCAAGGTTTCTTCCGTCGTTCTACTGTGATCCAGTAGGATATACAAAATTGAGAATTTCATATTTTAGACACAACACAAAAACTGTAAGCAATGGACCAACTAGTCTAATTGTACTTTTCTTTTTCAATATTGAAAGAAGTTCTACGATCAAAATCCTTCTCCCCCATTAAAAAAAAAAAATGTTCTTACAAATATACTCACTCATTATTCCTTATTAATATTGGAAGAGTCTCAAAATTCGAATAGTAATTCAAATCGAGAAGTAAACAAATACTTGACTTTGGCCTTCTCTAAAATGCTTTTTTTTTTTTGCTTTTTCTTTTCTTTTCTGCCTATCAAAAGAACATACCTGATCGGATTCATACAAAATATGCAAACCAACAATGTACTTTGATCCAAAAATTATGTCACAAAGAAACCAGATATAATATAAATAGGCAGCAACACAAACAACAATGCATGCATGCAGAGATCACTGCAAATCTAGAACAACATGGTTTATATGCTTTTCCATGTAGTCTTACTTACGTATGAAACGGTGACGTACACAAAACAATCGTCATAGATGGCTATCAAATCTCAATATGATTCTTTAACTCTTGAAGCTTATTATTGAAATTAGGACTTCTGCAAGTACATGCCAAACTTTCCAATACTCTCTTGAAACTTGGAACGAAAGGAACAGCAAACCAAGAAATTACAGGACGGCATGTCGTTTCACACATGAATTGAACAAAGACGGATATATGCACGTCATTCAGTGAGGTATATATTTTGAACACAAATATACTATAAATCAATCAATTGCCCAAATTATTGTACTACAACAACGTCATATTAGATGTAGCTAAAAATATATAAATCAATCAATCAATTGCGTTTTACACCATTCGTTTCTTCTAATTTAGTCTTCTCGATCATTATTTGAAGGCTTTTTATCACAAATGGTCCCTTAGGTTTGCAAAATTATCACCTTTCGTCCCTAACGTTTTTTTGTGACACCAATAGTCCCTAAGGTTACCCTCTACACATCAAAATGGTCCCTACCATTAGCTTCCATCAAATTTTCTGTTAAATGGCTGATGTGGCACGTGTGTGGAGCCCACACATCCAATAGTATACATCCACGTGGCTTTAAATAAAATAAATTATATTTTAAATATTTTAAAACTTAAAATCCAAAAAAAAAAATACACCCAAGAAAAGCTGTATCATCTACGTTCTCCCTCTACCAGCACCTTTGCCTCTCTCTCTCTCCCTCCTCTTCCTCCCTTCTCTTTCTCTCTCTCCCTCATCTTCCTTGATTTTTATAAGCTACCATAGCTTGATGTAGTTTCTGCATCAGGAAGTTTCTCCATGGCCAAATCTAAGCTTCAAAACACAAATTCTCTATGTGGGTCACTGTGAATATGAGCTCAGTAGTAGTAATTCCCAACTCCATAGTCCCTCACATGATAATCTGATGAAATAAACACTTGGGTCCTTTTTTGTTTGAACAAAACTTGCAAATCAATGAAACCCAAATCTTAAAAGTTCGAAAAAAAGAGAGGGTATGGGATGAGACCCAATAGTGAAGATGAAGCGATCCAATTATAAGATTTACAAAATAGCAAACCTGGTGGCTAGTACAGTTACAGAGTCATACCATAAATATTAAGTTGGGTTTTTGGATCAGGGAGATAGAGAAGGGAAAGCTCGAGAAGTCAAGGAAGATCAAGGAAGATTAGGGAGAGAGGGAGAGAGGGAGAGAGAAGGGAGGAAGAGGAGGGAGAGAGAGGCAAAGAGTGGGTCTTGCGAGGGTGTGAGGCGCTGGCAGAGGTACTAGTCTTCTTCTCTTTTTTTCTTTTTTGTAAGTTTTAAAATATTTAAAATATAATATATTTTATTTAAAGCCACATGGATATATAATATTAGATGTGTGGGCTCTACACACGTGCCACATCAGCCATTTAACAGAAAATTTGATGGAAGCTAACGACATGGACTATTTTGATGTGTGGAGGATAACCTTAGGGACTATTGGTGTCACAAAAAAACGTTAGGGACGAAATGTGATAATTTTGCAAACCTAAGGGACCATTTGTGATAAAAAGCCTTATTTGAATTTGTTAAGAGTATCCCACATCGAATGATATGAAAGTTTTGTCTCAGTCGTTAAAAGATCCCGAACTTGTTCAATCATTACCAATTAATTTTGAATTAGTTTTGGGTTTGATTTTCTGGTCTAATAGATGTAGCTAAAAATATATAAATTATCTTATTAAAGAAAGACTGCTCTTAGACTTTTTTAGTTAAAACTTATCTTTCTATCCTTGTAATCTTGTTCTTGCAAGTACATGACAAATCTATTTTCATATTTACAAGTGGTTTGTATATACACGTTTATATCATCAGTATGATCGAGCTATCGATTGCCATCCAATGTCTTTGGAGCCGTTTCAAAGTTTTACTAATATTATATTTACCTAGTGTAGTGGGAAAACCCCACCAACAAAAACGATATCATCACAAGTTGATTAAGAATGACATGTGTTTTTTTCTATTTTATTATTACTTGAGAGAGACAAAAACGGCTCAAGCCAGATTGCCCACAAGCCTAATCTCACAGCTGGTTACACTAAAATGACTCATTTTCTAGGAATTAGGAATTGTTTAGCGTTTGGAGAGCAAGGTTCATGCATGGATCAATGAAGAAACAAACTCCATCACTCAACCTCGTCAGGTGGGAAACAAGACAACTAGATACATATATATATATTATATAATATATATATGCAAGAAGATTCTCTTAGCTGTTTTTTCCAACATAAACAAATGGCATGCAAAATACTTGGAGCAGGAGGGGTCACGTAAACATGTTGGGTGGATGTGGAAACTAGGTTAGCTGACCTTTCAGCTTACCAAAGAAGAAGAGGTACAAAGGGTACCCAAGAAGTCAGTGTCGCATTGACATATTTCTCAACACGAGAAATTCATTTGACTTTTTTTCCAAGTGGGAAAAGTGGAAGGAAAATAATACAAAAATTTGAACAGATACACATAATTGAGGAAGGACACTGATATAAATATGTACACATATAAAGTTCAACCACTACAAATACACTTCAAAACACCAGCAACGAATCTGTGGTATCATAGTTCATCTTCAACAAATTGGGCTGCACAGCAAACTTGATCATCGGTGGGGGCCCACATGCCAATGCAAGAGAACCGTCCGATCCATCTGGAAGATGCTCCCTCATTATAGTATCGGTGATGAAGCCCACACTGTATTCCCACCCTTCCCTGCCATTCTCCACCACATACCAAACCTTGAACCTCTCATACTTCTTAGCCCAAGCATCAAGCTCTTCCCTCAGCAAAATGTCCTCTTCTGTGCGGTTCGCATACACCACATACATTTCAGTCTCGTCTTCTGGGTCCTTCAATATGGCTTGAGCCACTTGGTAAATGGGCGTGATCCCGGTCCCACCTGCCAGCATGGCAAGCTTCTTTGCAAACTTGGGCTTGCCGTTGACCAAAAAGTGACCACTGCCAGTGTACTCTATGTGCCCTAATGGACCCTTTATGTCTATTGCTGCACCTATTGGCAGAGAGTCCAAGTGCTGTGACATGAGCCCCCCATTGGGGAATTTAGGGTGCACATTTTTGAAGTAAATCTTGACCACCAAATCAAAGTAGCCAACTTCATCAATTGAGCTACTTGGTGTGTAAGCCCGCATGCAAAGCTTGCCCTCAATTGTGGCGCACACAAAAATGTGCTTGCCTACCGGCAATCCCAAAACTTGGTCTTCTGAAGGCAACGCAAACCTGAAGAGCCTCGCGTCATGAGAAATGGATGTCTTGGCCACGAGCTTGCATGGGATCTTCGCGCGTGGAGTAAGCGCGACGCTTCTAACCAGCGTGATTTCTTTGATTGGGGTTAATGGGGTGATTTCTTTGATCGGGGCTAATGGTTCTTTGATCCCGGCTAATGGGGTGATTTCTTTGATCGGTGCTAATGGGATGATTTCTTTGATCGGGGCTAATGGGGTTACGAGAAATGAAATAGAATCTTCTGATGATGTTCTATGTGGCCCATGCACATATATGTTAGGGGAATTGGATGTGGAGTCGGAAGCGTAATTTGTGGTTAACTCGCCTACTATATAGTCCTCAAGCATTTTCTTGGCCTTGTCCGAGTGGATGGCATCAAACTCTTCGGTACAATCTGTGCCGGCGTTGATGAGGATGCTGTCAGCGCCACCAGGATGGTCATTGAGGAAGCGAGTGCAGTCATAGATGTGGCCGTGAATGATGATCCAGGCGGACTGAGGAGAGTTATGCTTCTCTACTTCGGACAGTGAGTAGGTTTTGGATGAAGTGGTGTTCATGAAAGGTGTGGACACACTCTTCTTGAGGGTTGTGTTGGATTCAGAATCCAAGTGTTTTTCTTTGGCCATCCAACCGCCCGATTGGTTTCCGGGTTGAGTTGGGTGCTCGAACACGATCCCTATCTCTCCTTTGTGTCGCTTACACACATTGCTTCTTACTCGAAACCAACAATTGTTCATCATTCCCTGAAAAAATAAAAGAAAAAAAAAATCATAAGCACATATCAATTAGTTAAAACTCAAAACATAACCAAGATGGTTGGTGTGAGTGGTTCGGCACTCTCATTCCTTAAGAGAGGTCAGGAGTTCAATCCTTGCTCTCGTACGGAGTCACCACTTTGGCCAACACTTTACCCCTTACGGGCCGACCCGGTGTGAGTGGAGATTAGTCTGGATTGTGGTTAAGGCTTAAAAGTGCCACCCATAATTGGGGCCCATCCAGGACCACTTCATGGTTCAGACCAAAAAAAAAAAAACTCAAAACATGCCCTAAAACTATTTGTACTATAGTTATCTAAAACTATTTTTACATCTCTATAAAGAAAGGCGATTAATAAATATGATACGTGTAACATTAGCAGTCATAAACTGATTTTAAAGAATTCATATAATCTTAATCAAATTGGCCAATAGCGGTGGAGCAGTTCCAGCTCCCATATTTTATTGTGGTCATCAATCGCAGTCATGAGAACCACCAGGTAAGTGGAATATTCAACTCCTAAACTATTTGTGCACCTCTCAATGCGGCGGTGATGCAAACAAAGACCAAATATAATAACAAAAAAAAACCAGACAACCCACACAACTCTAGAGAGAATTGCGTGCACGGTCCAAAATATTCTTATACAAACAACAGAAGGGATCAAAGGTTGTGGGCTTCCAAGGCTCAAGGGAATAACATTTTCAATGGCCCACATGGCATCACATTACTGGCTTAAATTCCAAATCATGGTCTCAATTTGGTATTAGACAGATAGTGACAGTTTGATTTGACCACACCAAATAGCCATGCCAAACTTGGCCTACCAAATTTATTATTAAGTTGAAAAGTGTGGATTAAGCTAGTTGATTAAGTGAGTTCACACTCGAGTTCGATTCTCCTCTATGTACATTAATTTAGAATATCGCTTTGTCAAAATGTTAACTGTATAAATTGAAGAAAAAGAAAAAAGATCTTTTACCATGACATTCCAAATGAGTTTCTCAGGCTGGGTGTTTTGGGTCTCGTCCCAAGCCCTCACTGCAATCTCTTTGGCTACAAGCAGGCTGAGGACCTCCACCTCCAGTGACCAAAAGCACCAGCACCAGTACCTTCCATACTTGTTTGGTTTTTCCTGGTGGTCTAGTGTGCACACCTGCCACGTGTCCCCTCCGTCCATTGTCACCTCTACTCGTGTCACTTTCTTCCCGCCCCCTGTAAAACACACAAGACAGCTTAGTTACGAAAAGTGGAAAATTTCTCTCTTTTCTTCCTTTTTTATTTTTTTAAAAAATAAAAAGTTATGACGTTTCAATAATTCTAATATACAAGTAATTCCAAAACACTTGATAAATATCTGCTTTAACAAAACCAACGTATACAAATTTTTATGATAAAATATTTGCCTCCTTTTTTGTACTGCTAATAACAATTTAATATGTGTGTAGAAATTTTTATTTTTGAGTTTTTTATGAATTATTTTTGCATATGAATCAAACTGTAATTTACAGAAAATAAGAAAGAAGCCGTGTCTATTTTTATACGTTAATGAGGTTTTCGATGCACCCAACCCAACTATATTTATCAATCATCTAACGTGTTTCATTCATCTCCATGTAAAAGATTCTCTACTTTTGTGACACCCACCAAAAAAAAAAACAACAAAAAAACCCCTAAATGAATAAATAAACAAACATAAATGCCTGCAGCTCCAATAATATAAACACAAATTATGTACCCGAAAAATAAAAGAAAAGCAAACCCTTCTCACCTGAGTATGCGTAGCCTTTCATGGTATACGGCCTCTGACTGGTCCACGAGTTTATCGGCAAAATCTCCTCATGAGACGGCGTCGTTATGACCGAGTTTATATTCAGCTCGTTAATTATATACTCCGGCTTGTACCACCACGCTGCACACAAACCCACAGTAACTAACATGAGCTCCAGTGAAAAAGTTAACAAAAACACACACACACATCGAAACGCTTAAATTGAGTTAAAGCGCTGATAACGTGTTCGATAAAAACCGTTACCTTCAGCGTTAGCAAGCTCCGCATTGACATGCGACGGCAGCACCCTGTTGTCCTTATAATGATAATAATTATCCGATTCCCGCGTCGTTACGACGATGCGTTTCAGCCATTTCACCATCCGGCCGCCGATGAATCCGGGTATGATGATCCGAACCGGAAACCCGTGATCCGGCATCAGCAGATCGCCGTTCTGCATGTACGCCAGAATTATATCCCTCGACGGGTCCATCGCCACCTCTTTCTTCACGCTCGTGCCGTACTTGCTGCCACCGCCACCTGGCAGGTCCTCGGCTCCCTCGAAGCACACGTTGAGGGCCCCGTTCTTGCGCCCGTAGATCCCGCACCGCTTGAGCACGTCGCAAAGCGGCACACCGCGCCACACCGAGTTGGAGATACCGGCGGGGCCCCAGTTGAAGCCGATGGTCTGCTTCACCATGTTCTGCTCCTTCCGGCGGTTTCCCGCGCAGACCAGGGTCACGGGAAACTCACGTGACTTGAACTCGCGGACGAGCTGCTCCATGGTGAACCGGGCGGGGCGGCGGACCAGGCCGGTGACCTCCACGGTCCAGTCCTGCCACGTGCCCTTGGGGACCGCGCCGTGGTTGCGGACGTAGTGGAGCGGCACCGGTGTGATGAAGCCGTGGTGCATGAGTTGGGCCAACGGGGCTTCGCAGTTGAAGGGGTGTTTTCCGGTGAGGCGGACCATGGATGGGTTTCGGGGCACCCAGCTGTCCGACGTGGCCTCATCTCTGGGGTCCAAGATCGACGGCTCTAGTTCGCTGTTGCCCTTGCGGATTAAATCCAAGTACTCAGCGCCGGGGTTGTCATTTTGGTCGTCGTCGTCGGAAGAAGAAAAGTAAGAAGCGTCATCGTGTTCGACGAAGTTTGCCGTAGTTTTCGGGCGAGTGAGATCCGAGAAGTTGAAGGAGCGGACGACGCCGTTTATGGGGGCGTCGAGACGGGTGAACTGGCGGTTCTGGACGGAGGCCGTCATGACGAACAGTCGTGTGCGTCGTGCACTCTTTTTTGGTGTCGTGCAGTGTGAGAGTGAGAGAGAGAAAAGGGCCGATCAAACTCTTTTTCTCTTTTGGGTTCTGTGCTTTTTCTTTTTCTGTGGGATTTTATTTTCCGAGGAAAAAGAGTGAGAGAGAAGGGAGTTTATATAAGCGTTCGATGGAGGAGGGACAGTGGACACGTATGACGCTAGGACAGGTGGGGCCCTGAACGAGAGGAGCCAGTTGGACTGGGTTGAGGAGGGGGAAGGAGGTGTCGGCGCGAGTTGGCTGCTGCTGTGGCTGAGGTTAATGGCTGGAGCCAGCCATGTCGAGAGCCACATGTATATAATCTGGTCTCATGCCGCCAATCAAAAATAATTTATTATTCTCTAAAATATCATGCAGTAATTGCATTTATAAAAAATAAAAATAAAAATTGAAGAGGTTTAACGGCACCAAATTCAATCTTATTAGGTGGACGTATGCACTCATTACTCATAGATTTGTAGGGAAATGTTTATTTATTTATTATTTGATGAATTTAAATTACATGAAAATAATTTAAATTCATTGCAACACTGCCTAGATGCTTCCTTCCCCAGTCGACACAATTCCATTCATTAATGGAATGAAGTCTTATTTTTTTTGGGATTGATAGGAAACTTGGTTCTTCTTGTGTGGTTTTGATGTTTGTATCATGCTTATTTAATTCATCACCCTTAAATTTAAAACGACATCGTTTGGTAAAATATAAGAACCAAAATTATACAAGTAGAGGGAAGATTGGAAGCTGTTTATATATTTGTGGTTGTTGTAAGAGGGTGGACAGTCTTGTGGTAGTCGTTTTTGAAGGAAATGTGTCGAAAAAACCTCCATGGTTTGAATTTTTTTTATTGTTATTATTCGTATTAAAACTTCATAAATCTCACAAATAAATTAGCTAGTGAAAAACCCATCTAGGTTTATTTTTCTGCAAAGTGTTTGCTTTTGGTTTTCCATGCGTAATTTTATTTTGTTTTGTTTTCGAGCTATGTCTTGTAATGTAATGCCCTTTTTTTATTTAAATTTTTTTATTATTTTAAAAACAGCATGTTTGAGAAAGCTTGTGAATGATACAATGAGTTTGGAGCTCAAATTAAGAGCATTTATCTTTGCATCCAATATTATAGGTTCGATACCTCCTACTCCTTGTATCAAAAAAGAAATAAAAGTTGTGGATGATCACATGTTGGTCTAGTAAGTCGTACCCGTACGTCCTTGAAGAGAGGAAGCTTATCAAGGAAGCTCATAGACCGGAAGGGGGCAGTAGGTAGCAGGGAGGAAGAGAGGAAGGGGACCATGGTATGTAATGTGTGGTCAACATCTATTCATTTTAGTAAGTATATATCTTTAGCATGTAATAATTAACTTATCGTTGAAGATAGAATATAATTATTTCACTTAAAACCAATGTCAAAAACCTATGAATGCAATAATATGGAGGCCTAAAGGGGTGGTGGTGGGGGGCTTCCTCTTTTACTATGTCCTCAGTTGCCCTAGGGTACAAAACTGTTCGTCCCTTTGGAGGCCTAAAGGGCCTATGGGCACTATATGACACGGAGTGAGAGGTAACCATGAGCTCCCATCATACGAAAACGTTCAAGTGAAGTCATCATTTCTGTCACATTTCAGTGTGGAGTGGTAGAACAATCCAGTTAAAAGATAACACATGACCATACATAAATTTTTCTCTATTCATACAATATAATCGATTCTATCAATTTCGTTTTAAGTAGTGTTACATAGATAAAAGAAATAGAGGATGGGAGGATGTGGTTTAAGAAGATGAAAGTGACTATATATACATACTATGCTCGAGCATGATATAAGATGAAAACTTCAATGCATTTTACTCATCAACCATGCTCGAGCAAGGAAACAACAATCGTATTGTCTTCATCAATGCATTTTAATTTGATGATGGTATCAATTTTAGGGTGAGGTTTTGGATGAACAATTTCAAAAGCTCATATCTCACGGTTTCTCTAAAGCTTCTTTTCCTACATATCATATTATATTATTATTGTTTCGTAATTACAAGTTTCCTATATGAACAATTATATATGATTAAATTACCATCACAGAATGGTACTATATCATGATTGCAATTCATAAAATTAAGTTCTTTGATAGAGATATTAAAAGAAAATATCCATTTCATTTTTGTTTGTGTTGTTGGTTAGGTACGGGTGAGTTGGGATTAGAAAACTACCCAAAGAAGAAAGAATTAATATATGTTAGGTTAAGATAATTCATGAGCTAACAACTTGATATTTCGTAAAATTTCAAAATAGTTGTTATTGGTACTTCAAAAAAGTCATCATGCATTCGTTCTCGTCTATAAAATCTCAAGAAAAGAAGTATAAATAACAGTTCTCAATTTCAATCCTATCTCCGGGATTATTATTATTATTCTTGGAATCTTTGAAACTACTTCTTTGATTGGACTAAAATTATAAGTAAAGTAAAACTGTGAAAGGACAGAATTTACTTTTCATCTATGGTTTTTGGACAGAATCGGTGTTGCAGTAGTATATATGGAAAGGGCAGCTTAAAGCATTCAAACAATGTTTGTGGAGAAAAGTTGTAAACTAGTATTCGTTGCTTGATTAACTTGTTTAATAGAGATTAGATCCCATAAAATATACAAATTTAGAAATGATTGATCGGATCTTGTACCATTAAAATAGTCCAAATGGTCAGATCGATCAATATGATGGTAAAAGTTAAAGGGCAGAACAGGTCAAGCACTCAAAGGTAAGCAAGGGATGTGAAAAATGTGAAGTGGCGCATGGGGCTCCCAATGGCCAATGGACAAAAACAAGGGGCATGAAGCAAATGGTTTTTATGCAGAAGCCAAGAGAGAGAGATATGGGTCAAGACTGCAAGTCTGCAAGGGTGTAGTAACAAAAATGAAAAGGGTCACAACCCACAGCATCACAACTGGGGGCGGCTCATAGATGACTGATGGGGTTAAGGAAAAAATTGGCTTCTGCCCTTTGGTGAAGCGTAGGGGCAACCTTGGTATGTGGTGGCTCAAGATCTCTCTCTGTCTCACACTTTCTATTTCTGTCTACTGTCACAACAAAATTATTGTTAAAAATAAATAGGGTACATAGGTTGATACTTGGAAGAGCGTCACTTTAAATATTTCCTTTCGGGTTAAAAGATTATTAAAAGAATCACTTACGTGCTTGTGGACGACTGTACCATATGGCAGTCGTCATCATTGATATACGTTTCATATACATACAATCTAGTCCCTTCGGGGACATCCGATGAAATTGGAACATATACATACAGTCTACTATTCACAATTGTTGATGTGACTAATGCTCAACTTGAATGGATTTTGTTTTTTCGGTTTCAAAAAGAGAATGCCACAAGTTTGCTCTTGTGGGATGAGATTTTAAGTGTAGCACCCATTGTCTTGAAAGATGAAATGGACAGTTGGTAAAAAAAAACAAAATTTTGATTGTTTTCTTTTATAAAACATAACAAGTACTAATTTGTCCAAACCCTAGGATTTTCTCGTCTTATTGGGGATACTTTTTTGATAAAGCTAGCTACTTTATGTAAAATTTCATTCACCCATGGATTAGAATATGAGTTGTACTAGGCTAGAGATACCCTACAAAGATTTATGAGATCAACTAAAATCCAAATGAAAACTATGAAAGAACACAAACTTGCGTAGGCAATGCCGGATTTACATTGTTGTTGTGAGCAGGGCAATTGGATAAGAGGTGCATGTGGACTATTTATCCCCATATTATATATGGTGAACCAGAGTAATGGACTACGTAGACTTACTATGATATGAGCAAGGTTTTAAATTCTCCGATATTACCGAAACATCTCTCAAAATATCCGTAGCTGGGGTTGCTGATAATGCGGGGGCAAGGGGAGCAATATATTTCCAGGATTTCTCCGAAATTTCGGCGACATTTGGAGATTTTAGAGATATATTATAACAAGTAAGATATTGATACATATACTGACACATCATTTGGTGAACAAATTTAACGAAGAGATTTGATGACTTTAGTGATATTGTTAGTGGTATGAGGTTTCCTTCTTCTTCCTTTTTCAAGAGTTGGTTTCAGCTTGAAATCTTATAAGCAAAATTTTAATTCCTATCTGGCGGTTCATTTGTAATTTTTAGTGCAATAATCCTATGTTATTTTTCTTTGGGCAGAAAGCATTCATGCATTCTAGATTGTCAGTTTGGTGGTAGACTGGTTCTCTTGTGCCCTAAACTCAGATGAGTTATAAGCCCATATCTTTTTTGTGAATGCCCAATTTCTATGTTAATGGACCTAAACTTGTGACTGTAAATGGGTTTTGAGCACTTTGCCCAAATTATTTGGGTCCGGCTGAGCTCAATTTCAATTTCCAGTCCAAAGTTGTCCTGGTCAGATGGCACTGGCTAGTAGCTTGACAGCAAAATAGTAGAAATAAATGCGTACTAAATAGAAAATATGTGGAATTCATTTTTGTATGGTAGGTCGTTTTGTACTTGGAGCACATAAATTTCTCCGAAGATAGAAAGGCCAATATTTGATTTGCACCACTGCATTATTGAAAACATTTACATTCTTCTTTTGTTAGCCATGTAGAAGATTTATATTATTTTCTTGATAAAGGAAAATTATTTATATCGAAATAAAGTGGTGCTATTGTCATTTTCAGGTCCTGTTTGGTTCACGAAAATGAATTGATGGGAAATCAATTCCCATGTAATTTCCCATGGGATCCTTTCCCATGATTGGTAACGCTGGGAAAATAATTAGCTAGGAAACATCATTTTATTTCCTTTCCTATGTTTGGTTAGTGCAGGGATTGGAAATACTTTTGATTAGTTTTCCAATTATATCCCTAAATCAAAAGGCATATTAAAAAGTGTAATTCATATTTCTCATGGTATTTTTAATTGTTAATAGTGGTAAATTGGTCATAAAAAGTTGTAATTAATGCTTGTCGTGGTTTCCCATGAGGAGAGAAATCATTTCCCAAGCTGGATGGAGGGTTACATTTTCTCCATATTTTCTCATAACCTAGAAAATCATTTCACAAGCCTGGACTTACCAAACATCGGAAAACAAATAATTTCCCATTCTCAAGCCCATTTTCCCATTAACTAAATGCAGCCTGAGTTCTTTCAATTCCACCTGCATTTTGGATTTTATTATAAAATTATCCTAAAATAACAAAAAGATTTGTTAAAAGTTCTAGAATTTGGCTGCCATAACAAACAATGAACAGGCCATGGCCGCCATGGCTTGGTAATGAGGCTAATGGCTTGCCTCTCTCTTTGTTGTTAAACTCGAGGCTGCCTTGGTTTGCCATGGAAACAAATTAATTTGTTAGAGTTCCTGAATATGGTTTTTGGGAATTAAGTAACGTAATTCTTTTTAGTATATTTTTAACGGGTATAATAATTTTTTTTTTTTTTTTTATAAAGGTAGGTAAATGATAAGAGGGAGGAATTATATTTTTACCTGTTGATTATTTTCATATATGTTTTTGTTGCTTTCAAGTGTATTACACTTGTCTAACTGTGTTTCGATGAGTAGGTTGGAATTCTATTTTCAAGAACAATTTCTATGATTCAATCACAAGCAAAACCACATCCCAAAACCATGGCTAAACAAGAGTTGGAGAAAGAGCAGGAGGAGAAGAAGAAGAATGGCACAAAAGAGAGGCCTAACAAGAAGGAAGTCATCATCACCGTCTATGTTGAATCACCATCACCATCATCAGCTTCCCATTCCCATCAGAAAACTGATCAGTTTAAGAAGATTAAGCCCAACCAGAACTCCCGGAAGCCTCATCAGATGGCGAAAACAGGAGGCTATGATCGCCGGGCTCACCTCCTTGCTTATGCTCAAGAGCTAAGAACAACTGGTGGTTCCCAACAGGTGCAATGGCCTAAGAGTGGTTCAAAGCCTAAGCTGAGGGTAAGTGTTCATGTATATATAATAGAAGGGAAAAGATTGTTTGGTAGCGGTACCCATCTACAGTACTTGATACATTATCCATGTTTTGTTGATACGACAATATAATAGGTGTAGATTGGTATCCGGTACCAAACAATCACTCCCGACAGTAAAGATGCACATGAATGTATAAATTATCAAACTGAAATGTATGTGTACATAGCAGGTGGGTGGCAAAAGGTTCACAACTCCAGTGACACTCAGAAGAACAAAAAACAAATGGAGATATCAGCGCTTAGTGCCAGAAGTAGACATATCGTGCAATCCCAAATCCATTATTTGCAGGAACAAAAAGGCCACTGGATCAGAACCCAATTCTAACTTTTTGGTAAATCACTTACATAATAATCAAATTGTTGCCTTCACATTTTTCTTCTTTTTTTTATTCATATGCCAAAATTGGGTATGGTAATTAATATATTTTTCTTGGTGTATTTGAGCAGAGGAAATTAAGGGGTGTAGTGAGAGGATTGTCATGGCACTGCAACAAAGGGTCCAAAGTGGCCGAGAAAAATCATGCTGTTTGATCTGGGTTGTTCAATTACTTTGTGATCTGGGATGTTCATGTACTTAATTCAGATGAAAATATTATTTACTTGCTTGAATGGGTCTTCTATCTTTTACAGTTTTACCCATTTATCCTGCTTTGTTTGTTACTTAAGATCCATCAAACAGGGGCACGTGTAGAAATAGCATTAAACAGATTGCCAAGTCAAAAAGACCCGAAACAAGCAAGTTACAGCACAAAATTCATACCATATATGCGAGAATATCATATCAAATCCATTTACTCTGGAGGAAGATGCATGTCAGAACCAAATTCTTCAAGTAATTTGCTTCAATGGCTCCTTGTTTGGGTTCTGAATATGGGTTCAAGTGATTGATTGCCTGTGTGACTTCGTAATCGAGCCTTTCGACTTTTATTAATGATATTTTTATCGTTTGACCAAGAGAAGAAGTAATTTACTTCAATTATAAAAAATAAAAAATTATCTGTGCGATGTCCTGCTCGAATTACATAGCAAGAGGTGGCCAACATAAAGGTATTTGGCTGCTAAAAATTATCCGTGCGATGTCCTGCTCGAATTACATAGCAAGAGGTGGCCAACATAAAGGTATTTGGCTGCTAAAAATTATCCGTGCGATGTCCTGCTAAATGAACTTCAAAGGTATTTGGATGGGCCCTGAAAATCAATATCATATGCGCAGTGCAAAGCTTAAGAGCAAGAGGTGGCCAACATAAACAAAGCCCAGAGCATACAAAATAAGGACACCAGAACAGAAATCTTCCACAAGCTATAAATTGGCAAAAGAATCAACACAGTAAGGCACTGAATTTAGAATTTAACAAAAAATGAGAGCACAATTTTTGTCCCTGTTCAAATAACGAACAATCATAACCAAACGATAACTGATCCATACAACCTACTACAAGGGCTTATGATAACCGATCCATACAACCTACTACGAGGGAAATTGCGAGTGAAAATGCCCTAAAATATCCAGGGGGCAATGCGCTGCCATTTGCTTTTTCTACAATCTGTTAATCAGTAACCTGTAACTAATCACAGTGTGCAAATCAGGCCACAGAAGCAAATGCTATTACTAAACCAAACAGCGGGGTCAACTGCCTCACTTTCCAATGAAATGATAATAGTTCTGACCAGTACCCATAACAACAAGGTGCAGCAATGCGGTGAATACAGTAAAAAAAACCAATTGTGAAAGTAGAATGCAGTCTTCCCCAAGTTTTAGGTCGTTTTAATCATAAAAATCGCCCGGCTTCCCTATTTCCACGATGCGCCTGCCCCCTAACCCTTCCAGCCCTTCGAACCCTTATATAGCCTCTTCGATAATTACGTCGTGGTGCAGCAGAAGAATTAGAAGCTGCAGCATGCGAAAAATCATCCTCATCCAATGAGTCGTAGTCCCTTTGATACCTACTCCGTGGGATGATTCCAAAATCAAATGACCCTAACCTTAAATCATCCATGTAATCATCTAGATCAGAATCAGAATCAGAATCACTATAAATGCCACCGTTGTTTGGCTCCAGCACATAATCCCCCACGATCACTGCCCTTGGCGTAGATGACATTATTGTGCTAATAACATCACTCCGCTCTCTTTCACACTCAAGCCTCTTCCATTTTTCTTGAAGTAGAGGATCCACTGCTCGAGGCCGTGCCAATGGGTGCTTTGACTTAACATGTTTCCTGAGCTCTTTATAACTTCCAGCAAATGAACAGTTATCCTGCATGCAAGTTCTCTTCTTGGCATTGAGATATTTCCGTGCTCGTTCCACCACTGTCCAACCCTTCACTTGCCCTCGACAAAGCGGGCACAAAAGCTCTGGTAATTCCGTCTTTTCATTGCGCTCCCCTTCAGTTAAATTCAAACCTAAACTATCCATTGATCCAGTCCATGGTTGCGAACTTTGAATTGAACATACTTTTGTGTATGCTTTCTTGTATTGTTCAAGACAGTTGGAATACCGAGAGCCAGTAGCACACATATAAGGGCGACAACCCTTATTATAAGAGGAACAAAGAAGGAGAACAGCATTGTGAGGGAACTCCATACAGACTGAACAGGTCGCATCTTCCCAATCTTTCTTTTCCTCTGTTTTGTGAGATTTCTTTTTTGAATGGACGCCTTTAAGAGCCTTTAATGGGTACCGGGGCATCCTTAAAGCTTGGGAGTCAGATCCACGTCGCAACTTGTTAACTTTAGCCATCTACAAAGAGAACCTGAAATTCATCAAGACAAAGGAGGAGAGAGAATATTATTCTTCCATTTGCTTGAGCACATATAAAATGATTGTAACAATAATCAGATGAGCAGTACAAACTAGGTTGCTAAACAATGTATTTCATACATAACAAACGTGTAAATTAATGCTTAGATCTCTCTAATGACTTCATTTTAAAAGACAAATCCAATAGTTGTGTCCCCACAAAAGGAAAAGAAAAAAAATTTGCACCACCAGTTTTCTGAATATTTCCTACGGAGTTGTACGTCCAACATGCTATCTGAGTGGCGTCATTTTCTACTACTATTTGGAACTAAAAAGCTTTACATACTGAATTTGAAATCCAAGTCCATTTAACATAGCCAATCAAACATCTTTTGATTTATAAGCGAAATGCATTTTTAAAAAAATCATAGGAAAGAACATTGTAATGACAAGGGATGATTTTTTCACTTACTGCTGCTATATAACATTTATAAATTGCACAATTCAAGTATTACCAATTTTCCAGTTTTGATATACAATGTATTCACATGACCATTTGAAAAACAAAATTGTTTATTTATTCAGCAATTAAAAGAACATAAGACAGAAAACAGTTAAAGAAACATAAGTCATGTCAGTCAATAAGAACCATATTACAAAAGTAGTGCAAATGAACAACACCATGGGATTCTGAGATCAAATAAGCACAATTTTATTTTGCATACAATACTACCCACAAAGAACACTAGAAAAATGCCCCAGATAATTACTACACAACAAATCCAATTTAAGCAAAGGGTATTTCAAGCAAATGAAATTTTGGAATATATCTAATAAAAAATTGTAAAGTTTCTATATGGATCCTTCTAACTACAGAAAACTCAATATGAAATTATAAAAAAATAAAAATAAAAAACGAATATGAAATTGCCTCTGCATAGGAACCACTACTCCATATAAAACCATTTAACTATAGATTTAATAGCCAAGGATAGCACTTCAATTACAGAATACTCCATGTTTAATTGGTTCCTTCTTACAACCAATCCACTCTCATCCAATATAGCCTAGCTTTTCTATTCCTATTCTATCATCATCAAGTTGCATACGCATATCTCGTGCTTACCTTCTAGAAAATATATCAGAATATGATAAAAAGGTATGGACTAGTCAGCAATATGAGCACAATCATTTTTTTTAAGGGGGGGTAGTAAAAGGAGAATGATCATCACAAACATAGGCCGACAAAACAATAAAACAATTCTAAATTTAAGATACAGTAAATTATAGATCATCTAATAGATGGGCGCCAGTTTATAGTTGTAAGTGGTAACTGATTAAAAAAAATTAATTACAAAAAGAAATCCTATTCAAATATTAGGCACTACATAAATTACAAACATTTCCTAAGTTTCTGTTTTACAATTTATAGCCTTCTTTTAAGTTTAAAGTGAACATATACCAGCATATCATTGTTAGCAATCAAGAAATGCAAGAACAAGGAATTGGTGCATAACAAGGAGCACATCACACAGATTTAAATCTTAGTGGTAGACAAACTAAATAGATTATATCTTTTCACTAAATTCTGACAAAGACTTCCAAAGGAACAACCTTTTTGTCTATTGTTGGAAGGAGCAACCGTGTTTTAGAAAGAGAAAAGTACTACACTCAAGGATTTCAACCTTATAGCAAAAATGTGGGAAAAAATACATAAAACTCATGCACGCATCTACCCATAAAAGATTTTTTTTTTTTTTTTTTTTTTTTTTTTTTTTTTTAAAGCATAAGTAAATGAGCATGTATATTTACTTTGACAAACAAAAACTATAAGCCTAATTTGACAGGACGAAACATGAACTTCACAGTTTATGCAATCTGCGAGATCAATTATACGGAACGATCCTGAGCCAAAAATGATCCTTCCGAATACAATTGTACGGGCAGATGTTGATCGAACAGTGAAAATTTGAAAATAAAAACAGAGATAGAAATGCAATCGGAGATCAATCATAAAATCCCTAAGGAACAAACAGAGGAATAATCACACAAAGCAAATGGGAAGGCGAGAAGAACAAACCCTAGGAAAATGAATCGCAGAAAGGCGCGAAAATTGAGATCGATGGGGAAGGGGAGAATCGCCAGTACCTGGGAAGTGCCGGAGAGAAGATTATGCGACGGCGATTGCAGCGAGAGAGAGAGGGTGTGTGTGGGTGTGATTGGAGGGAGGAGGAGAGAGTAAGTTTCCGATCTTGGCGGTCACGTGGGGAGGGAGGGATACGTAGCGTGCGGGAGCTTATAAAAGGTGCGGTTTATTCTCTCATTTTATCCGATGGAGGATGGCGCCATTGTGTTATCATCAGCATCACAGATGATGGTGCTCATGAATGAAGCCGGTGGGAATGGAAGACGCAAGGCCAAAGGTTGGGTTGGGTTGAAATGAAATTGACTTTGGGCCACCAAAAACTGCAACTCCAGAGAGCCCATTTTTATTGTGTACTGGTCCCAGTCCAGACCCTAGCACAAGTAGAAGTGGAAAGGCAAGAATGAAGAGGGTCAATCCTAAAACCAAGTAGAAGAGCTAGGGTCAATCGCGTAGAAGAAGTGATAATTATGGATCCAGCTATGATGCCTACATCACAATCATCGCACACTTTCGCTAATTGACTAACACTAGCATTTTCTCTTGTATAAGTATCTCATGTAGCACATGTGGGTTAGGGCAATTGGGAAAGAGCAGTGTGACTGCCTCCTTATACTTGAGTTTGATCTCTCTCTCCACGCATTAGATGATTTAGAATATCGCATTGTCTAAAAAACATGAAAACACCATTGAAGTAAGGTGCGTTTTTTTACTTCAAAGTTAAACTTGCAATTTGCGATTAGGAAAGGGGGTTTACACAAATATTGATTGAGTGTCTTGGAGTTTCGAATTTCTGCCCACATGGGTGGATGTGGAATAGTTCAACTAAACTGAGAGATATACCCTACTAACTTGCTTGGAGATGTTTGGTTGCTATTTGGAGGATGCTTGATTTTATATGGGCTGTGGGATATCCTAATCTTGGTGGTTATTGTTCGGGCGTAATTTGAGTGTGCACTTTGATGTTTTCTAGTTGAGATCAGTAGTCGTACTGTAATTTCCAAACGTGCATGATTTATGTCGAAATACATTTAACATCAAGGACTGCTTTTGTAATTTATTTTTCTTATACATTACTCGTACGACTTTTCCAGTTGGTCATATAAGACTTTTCATTAGATTTGATTACTTGGAAATTGTTCTACCATTACCATTACTTTGGAAAACGCGTACGGACTGTCATGCCGTTACCATCAGTCCCGCTCAATTTAATGTCAACTATTTTTAATAGTGTAACCCACGGTAAAATAGTGAACATAAAATATTTATAAAAATAAATAAAATAAAACTGGCGCATATTTTATTTTTCTCCCATTACGTATGCATGCCAATTGTGACACTGTCAAATAATAAATTATTTACAAATCGTGATTCCTTTCCAATGCTTACAAAAATACCTACCACAACTTGCCAATACAAATCTTTAACCCACTAATTAACTTAATTTGAAACTACAAGGGGAAAAGACATGAGATATCAAACACCTATCAAACTGGGGAAAAATAGAGAGGACGAAAAATCATATTCCTACAACAGACAAACTGACACTAGAATAATTCAATACCAGAATGCTCCATGGTGCAAGATCTACAGCAGGAAGGTGGCGGACCGTTCATTGTTCTTTGAAACTCATGGATCCTGTCAGCCGATCCTGTGAAAATTGATGAAGTTATAACACATACGCACTCTACAAGCGTAAGCCAAAGATTTGATGGCTGAACGCTGGATAGACCGGAGCAAGTTACAGAGCGGGGATAAATTGTCCTGCATCTGTACTGTAGTGTTGGACAGAGCTGTTTTCAAAGGCAAAGATATTAATCAGTCAACGTATTGATTTTGGAATTATTTTTAGTTCAGTTTCATGGAATTATAGGGTGGAGAGAGCAATATGAAATTGTGGAATACATACAAAGCATTACCTTATTACCATCACAACTTATAGCTGAATAAATGTTTTCAACTCGGCCCACGGTGATGGTAAGGAGACCCTGATCCAGAAGATGTCGTAAGGGGTCTATTAAGAAATGGATGATTTAAGAGCTGAGCAGCAGTAGGACGATTCGCTGGATTAACTTGTAGGCATCGATGGATGAAATCTTGTGCATCTTTCGAAAGAGAATCGGGAACCGGAGGGGGCTCTCCCTTTCCAATCTTAAATAATGCCTGCATCTGTTGAGACACAAGAAGAGATGATGCTGTCAAAAACAAAATAGAGGTCAAAGAGATGCATAATCTAACACATTGTCATCACCATTATAGACCACAAAGAGTAAACTTCTCGCAAAAATGGCACGAACCCATTCAAGATTAGGGTATGGAACCCGTCTGGTTAACATCTCCAATACAGTGCATCCAAGGCTCCATATATCCGCTGGAAGCCCATATCCCTGGTGTTTCCGATTAACAACCTGCACAAGCATAGATTGACGAATAAGTACTCAAAAATAAAAATAAAAATCGGGCACACATTACTCTATGACTGAAGCAACATATGCAGCCTCTCCAGCAAATATTGGCAAAATATAGGATATCTTGCAACTTTTAAATTTTTATTAAGGCTAAATATGCTATTAAAGAACAGAACTAGATCCATTCTGCCTGCATAGTAGAAAATGATACTCCACGTAATATACAGGGAAAGATGAAGCTGGCAAACATTCAAGAGGCAATATGCCTCAAACTACAATAACCATTATTAACCATAAACATTTATCAGCATATAACATTATCCAGACTTGAGACAAGATACGGGATATTTTTTAGGGTGAGAAAAGATGTGGAATATCATTGAGAATATAAAACTTCGCATATATGTTACAGGAACAATTGTTAAGAAACCAATAATCACTCATTCAGTGCCCAAGAAGGCTTACTGATCAATCATACACTAGATGAAATAAGGAATTAAAGGAACTATTAATTTAGAAATTTGCTGAAAATAATTAAGACTTCCAAATTTCGAATTTATTATTTACAACTTATTTTTTGCAATAGGTTCTTTAGAACAAGTTGATTCAGTTTAATCAACATAAGATTATAATATTGCTATATGTCTGGATGTGTTTGTTAAGAAAGTTTTATTACAGTAGAAATTAGAAAATATATGGTTCATTGTTAACGTTTTTGTTATTTGTTTACAGGTTTTCTCTTAAAAAAGACAATAAAGATACAGAACAAAGAAGATGAAAGTGAGAAGAGGCATGACAGAGGTGAGGGATAGAGGAGAGCAAATACATAGAATTGCTTATAAAATAAAAGCTCAAAATAGTTTTAAGTTTTCAAAAATTCATATCTTCTTGTTTTTCACTTGTCTTTATATTAAGGTATAATTTTTTTATTAAAAAAAAATCACTTTACTGATTCTTGAGGCTATTAGTCCAATATTTGATTACCAACGTTCTCTTTCTTATAAACGCTATACTATATAACACAGCAACCTGACCAAAATACATACATCTTTATCAGAGTTCAAGGCAAAAAATATAATTTGTGAAAGTCATCCTGCAATCACCACTAAATTTAGCAATCCATCAATGTAAAACAAGTCTGCACCAGTATCAAATTGAAGTATTTTAGACATGTCCTCCCATAACAGAGAGAGCTCACAAGCATCCAAAATAGTCTCAAATTATAACTTCTTCTGATAACTGATGATATTAAAACAAAAGTGTAAAGGCAAACCTCAGGGGCCATCCAGTATGCAGTCCCCTGGCTAGATTTGATGTCGTTCATCTGGATAGTCTGAAAAAAGGGAGCGAAAATTAGGAGAGGAAAATACTTCACAATTAGTTGAAGTTATTGAAAACAATTAAATAGAATAGATTGTGAGGAATCAAAGACAAACCTTTGCCAATCCAAAATCTGCGAGCTTCACAGAACCATTTGCATGCACCAAAATATTTGCGCATTTGATGTCCCTTAATACAAGAAACAAAGATATGAGAATAGGTGTAGACAAGACAACAGAAGCAAAGCATGAGCATGGATACTGTGATGGTTCAGCCACTTTTATTTTATTTTCGTTCTCTTTTGTTGTGGCTCATTGGTGGCAAAGGAAAATATATTTCAAGAATTCAACTTTCGTATAAATTATACATCATGTGATATGAATCACCTGTGAATCACTCTTCGGTCATGAAGATACTTCAGACCCTGCAGGATCTGTCTTGTGTATTCAGAGACATGAGAATCTGTAAGACGATACGTCTGATAGAGTTTCTGGAGGGAGCCTTTAGCTACAAGCTCCAGAAAGATATAAAGGTTTGATTCATCCTGCAAATTCAGCAATATATATGTCAGATACTGGTAACATGATATGTACAAAGGCTATGAAGATTTAATGCTTAATTAGTAAATGTATTCTACCGGAAAATCTATGGTGAACCGGAAACTACAGAAGGTCATAATCAACAAAAGAATAAACCAAAAGGGTCATAAATGTCCTAACTTCTTTACAACCAAAATTTCTACTAGTGTTGATACTACAAGTCCTTAATAATTTTGGAGTCAAACTAGAGCATCAAATAGTACGGACAAAGTGGCAGAAAGGGTAACCCTCAAGTATATGCATGAGTCATGACAAAATAAAGTGCATTACAAGGGCACATGTAGTTCAAAAAAAAAAAAATGTATTTGATATTTCGATACAATAAAAAAACTATCAAAATGATTTTCCAATTTTATTCCATAGTGATTAGTGATTCAAAGAAAGTTTAATTTTGTGAATAAAGTTCTTATTATTACTTTATTTACTTTTATTTACAGTGATTTCGTATGTGAATGAAAATAAGAAAATTAAACAAATATAGTCATATCAATAATGCATACAACAAATTCCACCTCAGATAGACAAAATACACCAATGTATGAGAATATCTCATCCCCTTATTTTTACATTAAGGTGGACTTCTCTGTAATTGTCATTAATGATTCTCGTTGCAACGTCACCAAGTGTCAAACCAACATAAAAATGAAGTTTCTATGTATAATGGCCAGAATCTGTAGCAAGTTAATACGACGAATAAATGACTCTGATATGCATAATTACTTATCATGGCAGATAAGGGAATAGCATGACAAACAATTTTAAGGGGCATAGATTCAAGCTCAAGAACAACAAGAAAATAAAAAGTAGTACCTTAGTGGTTCCGTAGTATTGAACTATGTTTTGATGTTCAAACTGACTCAAAAGAGCAATCTCCTGGAAGAGGAAAACAAACCAAACAAGCAAACACTGAATGAGAAGAAAAGGATCTCAGAAACAACAGTAAAGCCAGGCTCTACTCACATACTATTACTGAATCAATTAGTACAGGCATGCAAAACCAGGACATAGGACCAGACACAACACAAGCCTCTCACCTGTTCAAGTTGATAAACTCTTTGCAACCCCTGACTTCCTTTATCCAGCAAGGAAACTTCCTTCACAGCAATGAAGCATCCGCAACTGCAGGAAAGAAAACTCATAATCAACAAAGTTGTAAAAAATATCAGAACCAATGGAAAGTTGAAACATGGAGCCAGTCTTTTAATAAACATTTGTTTATGAATGTCAATTGAGGTATTTCAGTTAGTTAGACAGCTTTGCTGCAAAAGAAAGAATTAATTCATTTGAATATACAGTTATAAATACTTCATTAATAAACATTTTATGTTTGCACCCCTGACTCCCCTATTAAAAGATACAGCAAATCCTCAATCTTTTGCTTACAAGCCAAGTCTGAGCCTGAGGTTCAAGCTCATGTCAGGCTTAAGCTCAGCAAAAATCTCAACAGCTGAGCCTAACCAACCAAAAGCAAGGGCCAGCTTGGCTCATTTGCAGCCCGATGTGCTGCCTGCAGGCTTTGTTTAATTAGGTAGTGAAGGGATGGATCCAAAGTGGGATCATAAGGAACCTTTCCAAGTTTTGAATAAGAATTTGCAAAAACCACAAAGAAAAATGGAGAAATAACTCAATGAGAACCTCTGTTCTTAAATCTAGTAACATTCTCTCCTATGAATCACCTTCCTCCTATTGTAAGAAAGCAAATTCATCTGTCATTTACCACCTAGAAGTAACCTGTTGAAAAAAGGTTCGGGGGATAATTCACAGTTGTCCATACATTACCCAACCACCAGGACTGCAAGATATTATTGTCTTTCAAGCTTCTTATCTGTAGAACACTACATCAAACAAAGCTTGTCTTTCCATCTCTTTCCATCACTAATATCACCAAGTCAACCGAGGTCATCTAACGTCTCTTCCATCCCTTGAATTTTGAAACCAATTGGCACCCTTTCTTTAGCCATCACCGCGTAACACTTAACCGTTATATTACTTTAAACTCAACCTCTAACATTCTACTTCCCAAGTCCCAAGAACACCAAATTATCTTTCACATATTGAAGTTTCCAATCTTAATATATCTATAAGAATAAGCAATCATATGGAAATGCAAGGGGTTTTGAGCACTTACTCAGAAATTGCTTCATACACAGACCCGAAAGACCCACTACCCAGAAGGTCACCCTTTTCCCAGTGAGTGATTATAAGCTTAAGCCTCCCATTGGGCGAAAACCTCTCATTCGGAGAGACAGTGGTAGTGCTAGAAGAGTCATCATCATTCGACGTCGTAAACGAACACCCTTCTGAGAGCGGCACAGTCTCTCTAACCCCAGCCTCCACAGCACCCTCCTCTCCAACCTCTCCTTCTTCTTCATCGCCACAACAAGAAGAAGCAGAAGAAGAATACTCAAGCCTCTTCTGGACCGAGTCTCCCTCGCCTTCCGGCGCGAAGTCCCTCAAAAGGTCCCAAGTTGAGCATCCATCGTCGACCACCGGAACTCTCATCGACGGCGGCGGCTTAAGCACCGGCGGCCGTACACCCTTAATCCCAATACAAACACCACCGCCTGTGGTAGAAGTAGTAGTAGCAGCAGCAGCATTACATAACCCGCTTGGACCTGCCAAGTCAGCCTGAGTCAACCCAGTCACCGTAACAGTAACATCCCCAACTCTATCGCACAACTCGGCCACCACTTCCCTCAATTCGTCGGGTTTCGGGCTATCCAGACTATCCAACTGGTACAATCTGGACATGGGGAGCAGATCCGAAGACGACCGGATCTTCCGCGCCACCCAGTCCTCCTCCGATATGGAGAAGTCTTCGGGGCCGAGGCCCAAGGTCTGGTATATCCGCTCCATATCCCCCTCCTTTCCCTCGACCCGGAAGCTTGTCCGGTCCAAGTCGAAGGAGCGCGTGTAGAGCGAAGGCGACGAGGACGAGTCGTCGAGCGAGGACGACGTCGAAGTGGCGTCATAATCAAAGTGCCTCGCCGCATTCCGGCGCTCCAGCCTCGGCTTCCCCCGGTTCTTCTTCGGATCCATGGCTTTGGCTCCCTTGCTAGAGAAAATTCGAGGTATGTGATGCATAGGGAGCTAAATCCATCTAAATTTGTCCACCTCCGCGAGCAATTCAATCGGAAAAGTGAGCGATGAAGTTGTGAGAGTTGTGTTTGTTCAGGGTTTTCGAGAAAAGACGCTGACGAAAGGAAAGAGGGTGAGAATTTTGGAGACTGGTAAACGCCGTCGGAGGAGGACAGAGATGGGAAAACGCGGTGCCACGTAGACAGTGTCTAGACTAGGTGGGTTTGAGGACTTGGGGCCACTTGACAACGACATCTCTGGGGCTTTTTAGTTTGTCTGAGGAGGCGAGCAGATTCCTAAGCGTACGCCCCACGCCCCCGCGCAAAATATCCTTATGAATATTATTAGATATTTTTCTTAGTTAGTAGAGGCTGCTCAGCTGGGAGTAAAGATAACGCAGGCACTTCAGTCTTCATGTTCATTACAAATTTATCAACATTTGTTAAGACTATTGTTAATTAGGCATAATTCTGCCATTTTTGTAATTTCTCAGAGAGATCATGGTTATAGAAAAATTTGATCGCGATGACACAAAGTTATAACTTCTTCCTGAAATAAATTACTTAATAATCTTAAAAGTAAGTTGCCTAAGCAAAACTCAACATTCAATTTAAAAAGTAACTCACCGTCAATGTTGTCGTGAGTTCGCAAATCATAAGAGTGTTATTATTGATGTGCTTATGAGAATAATTGCACAGATGATGTGATTAGAGTGCGTCGCCAAAGACTTTCTTGTCAAAGTGAGAGTGTCACATCAAACTACGCCGACAAAGATTTTATGATTAAAGTGAAACTATCATGTGCCACTATAATAGCATAAATGTGACACATGTTAAAATTTAATGATTAGTTTTTGTTTCTTGAACTATCGAATGCGTGTGAAAAGAGAAAAGATCCCGAAATTACATCGACAGTTAGACAATTATTAACAACTGATCGTAAAGTGAGTTAAATTTCCACCTACATGATGTGGTGTGGGCAATTAAGGTAGCACCAAAAATCATGCATGACAAAAGAAAGAAGACAGTCGCCCAAGTGACACAATGTGAATAGTGTCCAGGTATAGTCAAATTAGAAACAAACTTTGGCTGGGAAGAACTCTGGACAATTGTTCAGGTTGGCTACAGCAGCCAGGCACTCTCTAGCTTCCTAGCAACAAAGGGCGAATAATATTAGTTCAGTTGGATTAAATTGGTGGATGAAAGAGAATGAGGAACCTGATGAGGGGGGGCTCTGTTATCAAATTTTAAAAAACGGCAAGCATCTGCTTAGACAAAAGAAAGAGATGATTTATATGCTGTGAAAACAAAACAGAGGTCAAGGGAGATGAGAATGCATCATCATCATCATCATCATCATCTTTTCACTGTTGCCATGTCACCATGTGTCTGGCCGTACATAAGTTGTGGGAGAAAAAATTAATTACGGTACTGACAATCAGGAACAAAAAAAAAACATTTGATTGTGCGCGTCATCATGGACCCGAGGCAGCCCAAATTAAGATGATGTTTGGGCGAGTGATCTATTCTTACTAAGATATGATTATTATAATTATTTCAATTCATGAAAAATTATGTGAATTTCAAGTTAAACTATCCAAATCAGAAAATAAATTTTAACCATCTGATTGCGTAGATGGGCCTTCAGAACCCAAGGCAGCCCATATTAAGATGACATATAGGATAGATGGTAGTTTTTTGTATTAAATTATTGGGAGTTTCACTAAAATACCCAAAATAGGGGCTGAAATTATAAAAATACCTAACACCCAAAACACTTTATAAACATACCCAAAACTCATCATTACACACACTCAAAACTCATTTATAAACATACCCAAAACCCATCATTACACACATACCCAAAACTCATCATTACACACACTCAAAACTCATTTATAAACATACCCAAAACCCATCATTACACACATACCCAAAACTCATTTTGGGTATGTTTCTATGTTTAAATAGTGCTTGGGTATTTTTATAAATACATGTCTAGAATTGGGTATTTTTATAAATATCTATAAATTATTTACACTAACATCCTTTGAGATTTTTGGTGTTTTCACAAAATTCTTTTTCGTTGATTGTTCGTTCAAAAATAAATGATTTTACTGAAAAAACACTTATACAAATGATAAAATTAACCTTAATGAATGTATATGCAATCTAATCTCAAAGGCAAATTTTGTCATTTGGAGATTTTTTTATTTATTTATAAAATCAACAATCTTTGAACAAAAAACTAATGTAATTGAGTTTTGTGAAAACATTTTAAAATATTAGGGGGTGTTTGTGTAATTTCTGAAACCTCATGGAGTTTTGTGAAAAAACCGAAAATATCAGAAGATATTAGTTTAAATAACTATTTTCATATTCCATTTTTAACTTTATGCACTTATAAAATTATAAAATATTTAATGCTAAGTGTGCACAACTAAAAGAGGAGTGTCGGGGTACCTTGCTTATGTCAATGGGGGTAGCTTAGTAAAAAAAAATGTATTGATTTGCATACCATGAGTACTCCCTGCCCTTTCTAGCTTTGGATGAAAAATAAAATAAAATTACAAAAAAATTAATAATAAGAAAGTAGATAATAGATTGAACCCCAATGCATCATTTAAGTAAGGGTAATGCTAGAGAGACCATCTCTTTTGTATCACAATTGTATACCATATGATGTGGAAGATGATATGGCATGCCAAATCATTTAATATAGTTACAATACTAGCCTCTCCGCACGCGATTCCGCACCTGCGTGAGGTTTCTTTTTTTTAATTTAAATTTTATTTTAGAATTAAAAAAGATAATGAGTAGTTGTGTTCCTTAAAAATATGATTCATTATTTGATTTTAATTTTTCTAATATGAAAAAGTGTGAATTTACCATATTATCATCATTTAATTAATAATTTAAATTCTTAATGTTTGCATTAACCAATGACATTTTCTGGTATTTTGAATGTTTTACCATTCTCTGCCTTTTGCTTTATATATATAGATATTTTAAATTTTTGTTCTCCCCTAATTAAAGCACAAAAGTCATTAAATATAGCTAAATCTATTTTATTCTCCCCTAATTACAACACAATTACCGATAGGAGTCTTTCTATCTTCACTCTCTCTTCTCCCTTCTCCCTACACTGTCTTCTCCACAACAATTTCATGATTGCCGGATTTTTCATGGGTGTTAACACACAGTATCAACCCCTTTCCTCATGTTGGCTGCCATTTTTTGTTCTTTGTCTCTTACGCCCTGCAACTAGTGGTCAATTTCGCAACCCAAAAAGAGGGATCATGATGGGTTTTCAAAATTATTAACCTATCCAAACAAGAAAAACATGGTGGGGAATTTTCTGGGAAGGTGAGTTGTTGTGGGTTATCTTTTTAGTTACGATTCCATCTCATTTTTAGACTTATGGAATCGGTGCATTAATTAGAGAAAAATGAAAATTTAAAATATATATAATTGTATTAAATGATTTGGCATGCCACATCATCTTCCACATCATATATGTAATTGTAAAGACGTAATATTCAAGACGATGCTACATTGAGTATAATAAGATAAATAGCCAAAGTGCTACAAGCCAATATATTGACTAGTCTGTCACGGCTCTAAAAGACTTTAGATTAGGACGGACTTTTCTTTAAATGCGAACAAGGCTATTGTCAGTAAGTGTCAAATTAACATGAAAATGAAGTTTATGCATATCATCATCATGACATACATTTACATCAGTTTTATATGCCAATTTGAGGATTCTCTCATTCATAAAGGTTGATGGGTTAATTTATCCTCCAGCAATATCGCTCTTGTTTTTTGTTGCTATGATTTAGTTTTTAAAGACAATTGATAGATGTATATTACGAGATAAACTAACAAAGTACAAAATATTAGCAACAGATAAATTGCTAATTCGAAATTTAAACTGGATAATAAGATTACATAGAGATTTGGCTATAAGAGCTGGTGTGAGCTAGGTGTGTTAGTTAGGGCCGGTTTATCCCAAACCTTAACCTAATGTGTTGATCTTGAGCTTGGTTGACAAAACTGGTCACATTTAGGTTTGAACTGAAGTTGGAAACAACCCACTAGAATCAAGACAAATTCACCTAAATTTCTCAACCTGAGTTACCAATCCAGTAAAAATAGCTTTGCAAAATATCATCGTTTGTCAAATAAAATTTAAGTAGAGTTTGTTTGCAACCAAGCTAAAATTCATGGAGTATATGTTGGTTTGAGCTTTAATTGGCACCCCACCACTTGTGACCAGTCAAATTCGAATATCAAACTCTTTTATTGGTAGGGTTGTTCGCATAATCCTCTTGACGTCCGTGGAATCTTCTATTTCATCAATAACTGTTTTAAACAAAAAGAAAAAACATGTGAAAAACATGTTTGTAGACCAAGTAATTAAAACATATTTTTTATCATTCACTTATCTTTACTCAAGCGTTACAAATTCTTTCTTAGGGATATCCTAAACCCTATGCTTATGTTTATAAAATTTAGCTATGTAACTTCTACATTAATTGGACAAGTTTTGCTTGATTGGAGCCCTAAACACTATGTTTAGTGGAATTGGGATAAAGTAGTAATATTACCAATATGGGAAACATTTTGAATAAAACATAAAAAACCATACGAGTTCTCAAAAGGATAATTTTCCTCTTTTTCATGATGAATATAATTTCCCCTTTTGTGTATATACATGGGGCTCTAGGTGGTGGGCTAACTACAGCCTACCCTTAAGTTGCCTTTCATGTTACCAATATGGGAAAATGAAACATGAAAAAAAAATATTGAAAAGACGTATGTTGTTCTTACATTTCTTTCTTTATTTGTTTTAGAAAAAGCAATTTAAATTATAGAAAGCCAGATGGACAACCTTTCCAAATAAAGTTATTGGTTCTTTTGGCAATCTGCTAGTTGTTTTCACGAAAAAAATAATAAAATACTATTTTTTTTTTTTTTGAGATCAACAAATAAACTTCTAGTTTGGTTTGGGAATGAAAAAGCAAAAATATTTAAAGTTCATAGACTAGTAGTAAGTGCCCGTTTGGCATTGTTTATTTGGGGTGATAAGTGATTTTAAAAAAAATTTGGGAAGTCCAGCCCGTTTGATAAACTGTGAGAAAATCACTTATTGTTAAAAATTGCTGTGAGAGAAAGCTATAAGGGAAAGCAGCTAATGGGGTGCTTTCA